AAGTCAATGGCTGTATCACGTTTCGTCAGATATTTTATTTAGATAAATAATGTTTACTATATACAGAGTGTCTATTGTCTTGTGTTTTACCAAAATACTCTTTGCCAGTCGTAATTCATAAAGTTTGTTTATCTGCCTTTATTTGTAAAATTACGCCTAATGAAAGCTGGCTCATTACGTGAAAATATATACTGCCCTCTAAATATTTCCAATTGTAAGGTCATTTTATTACTTGAAAATGTCAGTTATGTAAAACGTAATATATGTATATGAGATTTTGGAGCTAATGGGTAAAATGAAACGAAATATTCAGTTTTCAAAAGTTACTATCCAAAACTTTGCAATTTATTTGTGTTATTTCTTTTCGAGCGCTAGCTGTAAATTCATATTTTTACTTGTTCTCAAAATAGAAATACACAGCTTGTGTGGATAACGCTTTTTTACATATTGTTCGTAGAAATCAGAAGTGGTGATGATGCTAATGCTAAAGATGTCGGAAATTCTCCTGGTGTTGAAAATACAAAACAAGGTACTATGCCTTTCAATTCTAATTTATTTTATATATATTGCGTAACCTAAGCATATTTGTTTTGAATTGTATCACAATTCAAGTCATTTGATTGGTATTTATGTGTTTTTATGAAGATTTATATTATTTGATAATATGCACAATGTACGTATACAGCGTTGCACTTTCGGACTCCAAACGTTCGCTTATTACGTATGTTCAATACTGTATCAGTGACTTAAATTTTCCTTTTTCGAACGACAAATAATTTAAATGTACTGTGTACCAGACGGCAGTGCTCAGCACAACTTGACAAGTCTTTGTCTATCTCAAAGAATACTGCGTAGCAGCAAAGTGGCGCAACTCTTTTCATAAAGTGCTCAAATTGACTACATTTCATAAATTACATTAAATAAAAGGATTATAAAAAATAGACTAAAACCTTTTAAAACAAATCTTGAAAATAATGTACACCATACAGACCATACCCTGCATTTTAGAAGTGTTCAGGTTGGACCATCTGTTTTAAAAGTGCTCGTGTTTAATTACAATAATTACTATTTTCTTTATTAGAGTTTAGGAGATTTGTCGGAGTATAACTTTCTTTCCAGATAGAAATTATGTTTTTTGCCCCTGGCTAACAGCAACGAAAGTATTGACAAAATTGAAAAACATCACTAAGTACTTTTCTTCAAATACAGTGTTCAATCACATTTTACATTAACAAATGTTATGAAATATATGAGTTTTTTTCATCACATGTCTAAGCAACACTGAATGGTAACATTTGCGGCTGGTTTAATCTGTTTTAATCATGACAGTAAAATTTTCTCACTTTAAAAATTGTACTTGAAGCACACTATCAGTCAGTTGAAATTAAGATAAAACGTGAGGTGATAATGACATTATGCAATCTATTATTTTAAAGTAACGTTTATTTGTATTCTGCTTTTTAATCATAAAAACATCTCAACAAACTATACTTTGGATATACTGGCATACTTCACGTTTGCACCACCATGCATACACTACCTAACTAATGACATTGAAAACTTTGCAAAGAACGGCCACCATCAAATCGACTTGCTCAATATGCTTCATTAAATAAGAATTCCTGTTCATTGCAAGTAAAATGCCTCAAAATCATATGGAAATTTTCATTATTACAAATGTAGCATTAAATTGCACATTTATTCAATGATTTTCTAAATTCTAAATTTACAGAAAATTACAAGTTTTTTCAACTCTCTCCTTGCTAAGTATACTCGAGATTACCTCTTCAGTGTGAACATCATTCAAAAGACCACAAAGATCATTTTCTAGCTTAGAATTAAATTTTGAATACTTTTTACTAAGAATTGCATTTTGAAAGTTGCATAGAGCATAAAAGTTGCTATATAAGTTTTTTCTACTAGAAAATTTCCCAAAATAGATAAGCAAATAACGTTACTAATCGCAAAACATAAAAACAACGACTGTTTTTATTGATTTCAATAAATTACTCCCACTGATCTCAAAATAAATAAATATAATTATTTCGATTATATTAGAAGAGCAAGTGAGTCCAAAAATTTCATTTCTGATTCAAACTGTGTTTTAATTGATGATTGTCAACTGGCTTGATGACCTCCATTAAAAAGTGCACGTCAATCAGTTCAAGCCACTTACGACTTAAGCCACCCGATTGGGCAAGGGTAACACTATTGCTTAAATATCGCTTACAGAACTCAATGGCTGTATCATGTTTTCTTAGACATAGTAGCACTGACCACTGTATAGAGGGCCGAAACTATAACTTTTAGTGGGTTGGGCGAGGGGGTGTTTAATAACGCTGCTGATGAAATATCGCTTACGGAACTCAATAGATGTATTATGTTTTCTTAGTTATTGTAGCACGGACCACTGGTTAGAGGGCCAAAACTATAATTTATATTGGGGTGTTGAAGGGAGTGTTTAATAACGCTGCTGCTAAAATATCGCTTACAGAATTTAATGGCTGTGACATGTTTCCTCATATACTGTAGCACGGATTACTTTATAGAGGCCGAAACTATAACTTTTAGTGATGTGGGGGAGAAGATATTCTTTAACGCTGCTGATGAAATATTGCTTACAGAACTTAATGGCTATATCATGTTTTCTCAGATATTGTATCAGTGACCATTGTATAGAGGGGCAAAACTAGAACGTTAATTGGGTAGGAGATGGGGTGTTTGATAACGCTGCTGATAAAATCTTGCTGACAGAACTCAATGCCTGTATCATATTTTCTCAGATATTGTAGCACGCACCACTGTATAGAGGATCGAGACTAGAATGTTTAATGGGTGGGAGAAGGGGGTATTCATATTTTCAATTGTGGTCCACTGATTTCTTGTGAATACCAACGTATTCTACATTTAACATAACGCAAGTATAGTTAAACAAATACACCAATAAATAGACAGTTACTTGGCTAGATATAAAATTGATTTGAAAATTTTATGTGAAAGCATGGAAATTATTTGCTCAATTGCTCTCTTTAACTTTATTAATAAGAGATCTCCAAAGGAGCGTTCTATTATACGAGAAAATTTTTCAAATTAGTAAAATATGATTGTGGTAGCCAAAGACAATTGAAATGTTCTGCATCCCACATAAAATACAAAAAAGATGTTACAAAATTTAAAGCCGGAAGTTCGATCATTTGCTTGCGTCGTTCGTGTTGCTTATCTTGTCAATTATTTTATACTTTAGCAGTACAAAATCATGATTTCCTTCACATATTTCTAAAACAGACAAGAAGCTTATCGAGAGGGCTGAAAGATATGATAAGAATTTAAATCGCTTACTTACTTTTTTGTGGTGTTAAATATTTATTGAATTGCATGATTCATTATCTACGCGAGTATAAATTTCATCCAAAAGGAAATTTTCTCGATAACGAAAACCCTGACACAATAGACACAAGACAGACAAATTGTTTCTTGTAAATAAACCATCATGTGCTTAGTAAAATAATTGAAAAATGCAAAAACCATCTTCAATTTGCCAAAGGTAAAACAATACCAGCAATGTTGCACGAGAATAAGAAAAACAGGAGGTAGGGCTTGAGTTTACAGAAATAAAGATAACGAGGTTCACTTTACCAAGGTGAATAAGAGAAACAGTACGTGTCAGATAATTTACAGTTAAAGCTTAAAATGCCTATAAAATGAAAATTTTGCAGCCTGTGTTGTACTTTTATTGAACAGAAATTTTAATATGACAACGGAGTTTCTCTACTAACTTATGCTTTTATTATGTTCGATACATCTAACTTTGACGTCACATTGCATAATAAGAACTAGAATTATTCGGTACATTTGATAATACTCTACTTCAACTTTGCAGAGTGTCTTTCTTTGTTATGTGTTAATGATATAAAATACTGCCTACTATTATCAATGTAAAGTTGTCACGAAAATGAAGTGCATTTAAAACATGGCAGCGACTCATTTTGCATGCAATATGATGTCACAAGTTATATAAATTTGTAATAGCAAGGACTTCACTTCAGTAATTTTAGAATGAAAGAGTCATACATAAAAAGTTTTAGAAAGCATTCATTTCAAAAGTTCTGGTCAATGTAAATATTATGTAACTAGGAAAGTTTTCGTTTCATTGGCACTTTAATGATGTTCACACAAGGTTTGAGAGAATAATTGTTGAGTTTTCGCTGTTGATCGAACTTCAATGTTCATAATTGGTATCAAACATAAGATAGTCTATCTAAAAGATGAGTGTCGAGAACGGAAAGAAAAGTTAAATTAAGCTATTTTGTTATTTTCTGCTGTAAACAAATTTTTAGACTCTAAAAAATATGCTCTATAAATTTATATTTAATATTTTCGAAAAACGTAGGGTTATTTCTTTAAAATAATATATGAAATTACTGCAAAAAGAAGTTTTTCTGATTAATTGTATGGTATAAGCTAATCTCAAATGTTGCCAGATTTGATTGTACAATTAAAGAACTTATGATTTGTCTAATGGTTGCTAATAAGTTTTTTCCAAAATGTGAGGTAGCTAAAAATATCTTTTCCTGATTGGGAAAGTTCAAGCTATTTTGACGTATTAATTTCCATTCTTTCACCCTTGAATGTAATGTTTTATCTATTTTTTTTAGAATTGATATTGCAAGAGTGGAAATACATTGATGAATCAACGAAACATAGAGAATCGTTTTTAAAATTGATTGAATGTGGACGCAATTCCAGTGTTGATGTTAAAGTGGTGGGCAATGTACGAGTAATTTTCTCAGAAGAGTTTCGCATTGGCAAAGGAAGTGATGCAACCCGTGTTTTTCTTCGACTGGGTAAGGATGGTTACGGTAAAGCAGTGAAACGAATATATCGAGATAGCTACATCCAGCTTGCGCTACTCGAAAAAGAAATTTTGAATAAATTCAACGCAAGAAAGTCGAAATATGTTGTGAATTATTCTTTCCTAGAGGAAGAGACTGGAACTGAATATGTGTATTTGATATTAGACTTATGTGAAGAATCGTTGGAGAGTTTCGTAGAATCGTCTACTTTACATGATCTTCAAAAAGCTCTTCCAGAAATTCTCAGACAAATTTTGCAAGGATTAGCCGATCTTCATAGCGGCCCAAATCCTATTCTTCATCGTGATTTAAAGCCCACCAATGTTCTTCGAGATTCACAAGGCAAATTTCTGATAGCTGATTTTGGCATTAGTCGAATATTGAATAATGATTGTACGACATATGAAAGCAAGCCTAACTCGGGAACTGAGTATTGGATTGCTCCTGAATCATATTGTGAAGATAAAGATACAGTCGATAAAGGACGGTACAAGAAAGAGTCTGATGTAATGGTAGGTGCAGGAATATAACCATTTGCACGACATGCATGTATAAAGTGAATTTGTAACATTACATTGTTAATCTTTTTAGAATGCAGGAATGGTAACTTATTGTATTGCAACAAAAGGAAAGCACCCGTTTGGAACTAAACGGCATAGATTGGACAATATGTTAAATGGAAACCCTGTTGGTTTGGACGAAATCAAGGATGAAGCACTGAAAGACCTTCTATCGTGGATGTTAAATCGACAACCAGAAAACAGACAATCGGCTACTGTGGCGTTAAAACACCCATTTCTTATGTCAGATGACGAGAAATTTGACTTATTATGTAAAGTTGGAAATCTTCAGCAGATTAAGACAAATGATCCACTGTGTAGTGTCGTTCAACAATTGAATAGTGAATCCTCAGATTGGAAAAGTAAAATAGACAGTGATATTTATGATTATTTTAGAACGGACGTCGTGACTGGAAAGATTTTTACATATGACTCTTCATGGACAGAATGTTTAAGACTTATTCGAAATATTAACCAACATTGGAACGATCGACCACGGCCAAAACCTCAACCAGAACTATTTTATAAGATTGGCGATCACAAGGCGTACATTCTCAAAAAATTCCCCAATCTCCCTGTTCGAGTGCATGCTACTGTGAGGTCAAAAGAAGAATTGAAAAACAATCCAGATCTCAAGAACTTTTTCATTTTCAGTGAAAGGAAACCACATCAATAATAAACAGTTTTTAAACAGTAAAAACAGTTTGTGAAAAGGCAAATGAACAGGAAATATACCGTGTAAAATAAAATTTACTCAGACTGGAAAAGACAAATAAATTTTATACGTATATCATTATTTTGATTGTTGGCTTTCATTGATAGATCGATTTATTGCGACCAGCACTAAAACCATCAATTTTATAAAGTCGATGTTCCTAAAGAGTTCTTTTTTAAATCCCAGTTCGGGTACGTGCGGCTGTCTGGTCAAATGGCGAATTGAAAAACATTCCAGAACTTAAAAACTTTTTCAGTTTTTAATGAAAGCGAACCACAATGAAAAGTTTACTGTCAGGAAAACAAATAAGAAATCAACGATACAGTAGTTAAGGGATTTATTTTATAGATGTAAAGTAGCAAAACACTTTTCACGACGTATTTGGATGATGTATAATCACATTTCTACATCTAGCTTACATTATTGAATGATATAATATCTGATTATTTAAATTTTATTCTCAATTGCTTTTGTTAAGGACGTATGACATTTAAAGTCAACTTTATAATACATAGTATATACTGTCCCATCCTTGATCATTGTTCTGAGGACTTATTGCCCATTCTTGTTAATTGCTCGGAGAACTTTATTCAAGTATATTATTTATTCTTGATAAGAATTTCTATACAATAAGATGATAGAAGATAATGTCAGCTTACAATATACTGCCAGCAAAATTAATGACAAAAATTAATAACGTAAGAATTACTTACTTTGAGAAATGGAGAATACCAATGAAGTATTGTATTCCATTCTTTTTACTCCAATGCTAGCATGTAAGTCTTTGCAATTCTAATGTATAATCTTGTGCGTATACAAATTATGGTTTTTGCAGTCTTTTAGAGGAATTTTATCTTATTTTCATTTGTCTTTAATGCATTCGGCGCATATAAAGTTTAACATTTGAAAATGTCAATGAAATAGTCACTAAAAGTTGATTATGTATTAAAGTTCATTTTGTAAAAATAAGCATGAACGGAAAAACTTTTTTCCGTTTACTAAGACTAATTAAGGATTGGAAATTTAATCTTTTTTTTCTCTTTCTGTATATTTATGTCTCATTTTACATCGTTCGTTCACTTTAGTGACTTTATTTTTTAATCTTTTGTCAACGCTTTGTTTTATTTGACACCTGCTGAGCTAAGCGTTTCAAATTTAAACTAAAGCTGTTTTTTGTAGGATTTAATCTTTCTCACGCATGAGTTTAGGGACGTAAGATTAAAGATGGGGGTGCATGCTGGTGGGGATAAAACATTCGTATTCGGCAAGATCGAATGCCTAAACTATGTTTATAATACTATACTAAATTTTCACTTGTAACATAGCATAAATATATTGTCTAATTTATCATATAGCTAGTTACTGTAATTAGTATAGTGTAGAACACAAGTTTTTAGCCTGTGTTTTTACCATTTTTAGCCTGCTATAGCTACCACAACCCTCGAAAAATACTCTCCCATTTACAAACACCTACAAAATACTAACTTAAAATTCCAACACTCACTTTGTGTTTGACAATCTTAGACGATGCAAATACCCTTAGCACAAGTTAGCTATCTACACAATAAACGCAAACACAACTAGACCTGAACAAATTGTAAATAATTTACTCCTTTTACGGTTATAATGCATGCAGGGAGGTATAAAGTTTACAATTGGAAACAATATGCAACAAAAGGTTGCATCAAAGCAAATTTATGGGTAAAACTCTCATTATTTTATTATGATACATGCTAAAGACATGGGCTTAGAGAGTTTGATAATCAAATGGTGGGTATGATTTTCACATATTCATGTCATATAATTCGTTAAAAACAATGAATTTCAAAAGAATTCAAGACAACAAATCATGCATATATGAATATGAACCGCCAACTATACAATTTTCCCAACTTTTGCTTTTCTGTAAAATATCCTTAACATATGATTTCTAAGAACAATCAAAAATTACAATTTCTAAGAATAATAAAAAATCAGAATTTCGAAGAGCAATAAAAAATTACTATTTAATTATTACATTATACACAAAAGCATACTTGTATAAGATAATTGTCCAAAGAAAACTATTTTATTAAAAATCATTATGTGAGAGCCATTGCTGTCTCCATCATTTGAATAATGATGATTTATACGTTGTATTTACAGTTAAACTTAATCTCAGGTGAGGTCAATTATCATTTAGTTCAGCAATCACTTATTTGTTCTATGTTAACAGAACGTTTCCCAATCATTACTTCCGCTGGCGATATCTGCAAAATTCAAAAAACGTTAATGAGACTTGTTGAAGAATCAAGGTCATTTCAACTATATAAATGTAGTTTCATTCAGTAGAGGACGGTTACAACAGTTACAGCAGTTATATCTCTATTTTAAAATACTTTGCAGTTAACTCTATTTGAGCTATTTTGGTTAATTCTTATTTTATATTCTGTGTTATTTTTACGATTATCTAGGTGTAGGCACGTATCTTTTTCATTACGGCTTATGATTGATTCCAAGTACAATGGAGTACAACACGCAATGGAAATGATAAAGATCGAGTAGTTTATTGTTATCGCCAGTACACAATCGGAGAATACACTCATATTATATTATATAGTTACTACATTATTTAGGGGCTGCAAGTACAATACTTCAAAACACAACAAATGTTATTTTCAGTGATATCTGCAGGGAATTTGTTAGCTGGAATTCAAATGATAAACGCCAATAGCACACATGTGTCAAGCTTACGTTCGTTACGTATTGTGAATTATTAATCGATTATAGAAAGTTCTTCACCTTTCTAAATTTCGCCCATTTCATTTGTTTCCTCGTGGTATTCATCAGTTACTCTCATAACTGCCTCCCACCAATTATTATCATTAAGAGTAAATGTGCGACCAGTGGCTTTCTCGTATCAGAAGATATGAGGTGTATACGGTTTCGACCAGGTATTTGTAAAACGGTCGTACTTCATAACGTAGCCCCATAATGGACGCATAACTTGAAATGTCACTTCGACATGTGTTGCGCTTGCAGAAATATTCACTCTCTCTCCATTACCACTTACTTCTTCTGTGACTTTTCTTTCGTTTAAATAGTAAGTTACGATCATCTTTGAGATCCACGAACTTTTGGAGTAATATGTAGTATTTAATGTTTTTTCTGGTCAACTGCTTTTGGCTTATATCGTCGAGAATTGAGTGTTGTTGGGTCTTTGACGCAAAATTTTCATTATTTGAGCAGGTTGAATTTCTTTGAGGGCAATAAATTTCATCAGTTGATATATAACCCATTACTTTTGTTTATCCATACTCATTGCTGACTCCCATTACTGCCTCCCAACAAAGATTACCATTAAGAGTAAATGTGCGATTTTTTGCTTTTTGGTATCGGAAGATGTCAGGTGTATATGGTTTTAACAAGGTCTTGTTAAAACGGTCGTACGTCATGACATCACCCCAAAATGGACGCATAACTTTAAATCTCACTTCGACATTTGTTGCGCTTGCAGAAATATTCACTCTCTCTCCAAATCTGTATTTATAATGATAAACCATCAAAACCATCGAAATCTGTATTGATAATCTTTTTCACACGGACATGGCTGTACCACACATGTCCAAGGAGGCTTTTAGAGAATTAATGATAGCAGCTACTAAAGGAGTTAAATTTAGTTTTAGAGATAACATGTACAAACAAATTGATGGGGTGGCTATGGGTTCTCCTCTTGGACCAGTACTTGCTAATATTTTCGTAGGCTATTATGAGTGTAAGATGTTTGCCTCTTCTGGGCCTCCAGATGTGCCGTGGTACAAACGTTATGTTGACGACACCTTTTCCCTTCTTCGTAACTACAAAAATCGCCAATTATTTTTAAATAAACTCTATTCTTTTCACCCTTCTTTAAATTAAACGTCTGAACATGAATCAAATTGTCAGTTAGCGTTTATGGATGTTCTTGTGTATATACGCAATGTTCAATTCATAACAACATTCATCGCAAGGCAACTTTTACGGGTTTGTACACACGCTTTAACTCTTGATTTCTTTAGTAAAGTGTTTACTAAAGCGAGTGCTTAGACTGTCATCAGAGGAGTTCATTGAGGGTGATCTCAACTTATTGAAAAAGATATTTCTCTCAAATGGATATCCGGAAAAAGGCTTAATAAACTTTTTTCATCCACAAAAAATGAGCAGAACAGGCCTTTTGGACCAGCTAAAACGCCCTGTGTTTATCAAACTTTTATGGAGGTGATGATATTGAAAGAGAAAATAAGAATATTACGGAGAATTTGTTTTTTGCAAGCCATGCTATCGTTCTATTTTCGAAAAGAACTATTCTACCACCTACCACAAAGAATCTCTTACATTAAGCAATGTAATTTACGAATATAAATGTGAGTGTGATGCTCGCTATGTAGGTAGAACGTCTCTAAGGTTGGGTGTTAGGATCGAACAGCATGTAACAACTTCAATCAGAAATGGAACGGTCCCCTCAAGACCACAACCAAAACGTGATTGTAAGAAAAGTAATTTAGTTTCATGTGACTCCGCGATAGGTAAACATCTCTTGAATAACTCCGAGTTTGCTGATTCTTATTCAGACGACAATTTTAGAATCATTAAGAAATGCCGTTCATTCTTTCAGTTACGCGTCATGGAGGCTGTTTTAATTAAGTTAACCAATCCCGTCCTCTGCCGACAAAAGGTTTATGTCTTTAATTTATTCCTGTTTTGAGCGTTATCTCCCCTTTTAGAGATGACGTACACCCTTTCTTGGCATTATTAATATCGGTAGATTGTAAATTTTCATTTAGCAGACGTTGACACCTGAGGAGTAGTCAGCCGAAATGCATCGTGTCGTTTAATTTAGAACTATTGGGTTAGTGCTCTTTACTTAAAACAGTTCTTTTAAGAACTATCAACTTGTTATATTACTTTTACCGTTCACTAAGGTGTTCTCTATCTTTGGAATTATTTTCAAATTTGTCCCCACGACAAAGTCCCTATTTTATTATTTAAGAAAGCGCTATAATGTTGGTCAGGTTCGTGACCTGACTAAATTGGTGAGACTTAGAGGAAAGGTTCGCTCGGTGGTAGCAGCAATCCAGAATTTTACGATAACTGACCGCGCGCTACGCACTCTTATGGCTAATTATGTCAGCAAAAGTGCTTTTTTATTTTATTTTGTTTTGTTTTTTTTGAAAAAGAAATCTTCAAATAACTTTTGGTTGCTATATTTATCTGTAAATGTGCTGATTCGCCAATGATCTCACTGACTTTTTCTGTATGTACTTAAGGCCCTGTGCACACGATACAGGATTAGTTAGATACCGGATTACTTTTCGTACCGGATAGGCCTTGCGTTCATACGGCTTAGCTGAAATCCGATACGCTTTATATCGTTTTTTCCGGGGCGATTTGACTCCGCTGTGGAAGTGGTATAAAACCAATCCGATACGTTCCGTTGTCGTGTGAACGTTCGAATCCGATACGTTCCACTTTGGCAACTAAGAAGTCCGTGCGATTTTTCAAAAATGAAAGCAAACATAGCGATACAAACTATGTTTTAAATGAATAATCCGCCAGCAAATATAATATATCTTCAACATGGCATGTTTAAGCTTTTAACAATGTATTATCGTACTGTGAAAAGCTTCTTTCTAGTATTATTGTAATGGCAACATATATTCGGTCGTATTTGGACATTACACTCTTCCAGTCCTTGCGCCCATTCGTAAAAAACCTTAATACGCCTAAGAAAAAACTCTACTTAGTTATCGTTCAAAAAAAAATTCTCATTCTTACGAAATATTTGAATTAGCAACCATCGTCGTTATCGATTGCACGCACAAGTACTGGGGCGATATAAAAACTTATGTATCGTCTTACGAATCCGGCATCGTGTGAACAGAGTGCATTTTTCGTATCGGATTGCTCAGCGAATCCGGTACAAGACGAATCCGGTACAAGACGAATCCGGTATCGTGTGAACAGGGCCTAAGTCAAAATAAGTAATAGGAGAACTGCATTTGAATTATGTCTACAAATCATAAATGCATGAAGCAAGTTTAAAATTGAGTTGTAATTTCAACATAATTTTCATGTTTCATAGTCTCATATTCTCATCGTGTTAATAATTTAGTAATATTTTAAAATATTCTCATAAATCCTTCAAGATTATTTGGAATGTATAAAAACACAAGCTCTATAGTTACATCATTCATTGTCAAGATTGTGAAACTCTGTGCAATAAAAGTACTAACAGTCTCTTTGGAGGTTTCTATCAACAAGGAAAAAACACTCTAATACTTGGATGAAATATTTATTTATAAAATAGAGATGCAGCTAACAGGGCCTTCTTTAAGGTTTTTTTTTCGATCAAGACTATCATATTTAAATATCCTTATATGGTTTTCCTACAGCCCAATGAAATATGAACCAATCAAAAAATCCAGTTTATTGAAATTTCATTTTAAAATGAGTAATATAAGGTTAAATAGTAAAAATGTTACTGAATAACATAAATATAGCATAATGCCATGTTTTGTGTTTCTTAATAACATTGCGACTATTTAAAGGTCACCTGAAATGCAAAATTCATATTTCTGTTTATTTGACATATAAAATGTATATATTGCGTAGACTATTGAAACGAAATTTGAAAACAATCCCATGATTATTTTAAGAGATATCAACGTGTGAATTTGTGTTTTTTTTTGAATAGAAGTAAAAAATATTCCGTCGGTTTATCGTCGGAAAGTACTCGGCGTGACGTAATAGTTGCCATTGACATTTCACGCGAGAAAGCGGAAAATATGAATTCATAAATAAAGTTTGATTTTGATCGGCTATTTTAAGATGGTTTACTGTGTGGCATTTATCTGCAAAAGCGGTTCTTCTAGGAACCAATCTAAGGCGGAAAAAGTTGGGTTTTTCAGTTTCCCCGCTAAAAATCCTTTACGCCAAGCATGGGTCGATAAGGTGAAAAGGAAAGATTGGAATCCTTCGAAAAGGTCAAAGCTCTTTTTGGCACACTTTGAAGCCTGCTGTTTTGTCCAAAACCCCGGAGTCCTGAAATCTTTAGGATGGCGACCAACCAGGTTAAGGTTAAAGAAAAACGCAATACCAACGATCTTCGACTATTCGAGGTCGAAAGTTGGTGATAAACGGAAACCGGACGCAACTAGAAACGCGTATGCAAAGCGCAGAAAATTAGAGGTAAAGTCTTGTAGCCAAGCAGTTTTTAATGTAATTATAGTGCATTACTTTAAAAAAACGCATATACAATTCAGATAATAAACGAAGCTCTTGAGAACTCCGTGGAAAACATTGAGCAGCCTGACGAGGACGAAAATACATCAAAAACATGTTCGTTTTTTTGAGTGGACAACTGGACTCAAGAGATAAATGTAACATAAGTGACAATGGAACACAAACTGACAAAGTGGTAAGGGAATGCAATGCAGTTTAGTTTTGTGCAAAAGCCTAAACTGTTGCTTGATGATGTAGAAACGCAGACATGTAAAATGTCAATCTGATATAAAAATCCCAGTCGAAGCAAAAAGCAAACGCACACAAACGAATGCACAAGTGACGTCTCAAGGTTAATTTTTTACATGAACTCAGCGGAAAATAAACATTTTGAAAAGTGTTTCCTTAATTATGTTATTCCGTTGCACAGGGACAGAAACCGAAATTATCACGACAAATGCAAGAAGCACTCAAACGGAAGGTAGTTTATCCGTAGATGAAAACGACAATGATGATGATTTCCTATCAGATGCTGAAATAAGAACTTCGGAAAACAACAGTACCACAGATGAATATCTTAGTTTCAGCGAATTTGAATCGTTAGATGATGAAGCATCAATTGCCGAGTAAGTTAGTCTGCATCATTTTGAAATAAGATAACACAAAACATAAGTTCATTTCAAGTATTTTACAGAGCAAGATAACATTCATATAAAAAATAAGTAATTTTTCCATGTTATAGGGAAAATGATGTTACTCAAAAAAAATATATAGTTTTTGACAGCTGTCTAAGAAAGTTGTTCTCTCGGTGTCGACACTGTGGTGGTCACTGCAAGATAACAACCAGAAGCATTGGAAGCATGGTGAACATCATCGCTAAATGCTCATGTGGCTTTCTTAATAATTGGAATAGTCAACCTACTCATAGTCAGATGCCATTGGGTAATCTTTTGTTATCTGCCAGTATTCTATTTAGTGGTAACAGCCCATCTAAAATCCTGCAATATTTTCAACAAGCAAATGTACAGTTCATTACTGAAAGATGCTACAACTATATACAAAGTGGATATCTTATTCCAAGTGTTTTGAATGTTTGGAAAAAGCACCAGACTATTATGATGACAGAGCGTCAGGGAAAGCAAATTGTTATTGGGGGTGATGGACGATGTGATTCACCAGGCTATTGTGCAAAATATTGCTCATACAGCTGCATGGATTTAGAAAGCAATAAAATTCTAGACACACAATTAGTTCAGGTAACTAGCTCAATTCATTAGTTTATAGTATTGTATTCAAAACAGTATTGTATGCAAACACATTTTAGGAAATGTGTAATATGTACTTATACAACAGGAATACAATGTGTGTAACTAAATCATGTGATATACACCAACATACATGCATACTTGCAGACATACATATCCCAAACACTGTATGATTTTATTTACATTAATATATCTATTACAGTCAAATGAAGTTGCAAATTCAGGGGCAATGGAATTGGAAGGACTGAAAAGATCTTTTAAACTTATTCAGTCACACAATCTTCAAGTGAGTCATCTTATCACAGACAGGCATTGCCAAGTTAAAAAATACATGAAAACCCAACAGCCAGGAGTGAAGCACTATTTTGATGTCTGGCATGTGGCAAAAGGTAAAATTAAGGCTATCGAAAGCTGCTCAAAGTACAGCAATGGGTCTTAAAATAAAGTACTTCCTGATTTGATCAAAGAGTATCTTTATAATCATAAATTACCAAGTGATTAAGAAGTTTTAGAATTTTTCTAAATGCATTTAATTTCATGATATTTTGATCAATTATTGCTATGTTTTGCATTACAATTTTTTAGCCAATGTACAGTGTCTATTTTTTTCTACAGGTATCAAAAAAAAGGTAATGGCAGCCGGTAAGAAGAGTGGATGTAGATTGCTACTTGATTGGGCACAGTCAATATCTAACCATGTCTACTGGTGTGCTGCAAGTAGTGGTGGTGATGAGAAACTACTTAAGGCTAAATGGCTATCATTGCTGAATCACATTTGCAACATTCATGATGGTCATAGCGAATTATTTCCAAAATGTGAGCGTGGTACTCTTGAGCCTCGCTTATGGATAAAGAAAGGTACAAATTAATCCTAAATGCTCTGGTATAAGACATAATAGTTATTTACAGTAATTGATACTTTCTTTATCAACACACTTCAATTGCCAGCCAATGCCACAATGTGGTGTTATTTGTCAACATATGACATAAATGGGCACCATAAAATTTTGTATCTTTTTTCCAAGGATCTAGAGCATTTACTGAATTGGCATCGATTGTTGAAAGCAGGTATCTCATGAAAGATATTGGGAAGCCCAGCCATGAGAAACAAACATCAGCTCTTGAAGGTTTTCATCGAGTTGTTATACTATATGCACCAAAGCATACACATTTCTTTTACAAGGCAATGCAAGCTAGGTAAACAAACAATAAACAATGTTGTTTTCATACTGAAAATGATTGCAAGGTGGCACACTAAAAAGTAAAATTAAATTTTTAGATTACTGATTGCTGCTCTCCATTTCAATGAAAATGGAAGTAAAGAACAAAGGCGTACAAAAGAAAATGGGGAATTAATGTGGAAAGTGTCTCACCCCAAATCAAGACAGTCATGTGGAGTCATCAAAGGTGTTAAAATTGATAGTACTTATGGTAAGGGCAAGTTTTAGCACTCAAAAGCCAAATAATTGTTCTACTGATGGTACATTTCTTGCACTTCTCAGTTTAAATCTTCTCCCCCTGTTTTACAGACTATGTGAAACAACTAATGGAGGAAGTGATAAGGTGCAGACATGCTAATTCCAGTTTAAACCAAGCAATTGCAACAGAAAGACAACAAAAAATACCAGATCCACTGACTAGTAGAGTTAGAAAAGTTGATAAAGTAACAGCAGTGCAACAACATACTTCACGATTCAATCTTAACTAAACTGAAGTCTAACACTCACAGGTATTTATAAATGCTGTGCATATTCAAAGCCTTTATATATGCCAGAAGGTGAAGGAAATGCTTTCCTTATTTCTTTAACAGCACAGGATGGTATAGGAAGTCGATATTTCTTGCCAAGCTTTCCATGTATCCATGCTGTCCATTGCCTATAGTCAGTGTAACGCAAAGTTCTGGGAAACAAAACAAAATCAAACATAAGCAAATTATTGTCGATATATGAGGAGATATCAAAAAAGCTGAAACTGACTCGGTTTCTGGAGCGTCTGGTATTGCCCCGTGATCGTGAACGAATACAACCATAGCTGTTCTAACGACTGTTTCGTTGATGCAGACCATGTGAAACTCTTGTTCTTCTGTGATGCATAAATGGTCACCATGAATTTTAGGGTCTGTCTTCGGTTCCTCATGGCAACAAATGCTTTCCCGGCCGGTTGTCATCGCCACACAGTGTCCACACTCACACCTGCCATTAAAATAAAGAAAAGAATTTTATGACGTGATCTGAAATGTTAATCATGAAAAAAAGCAACGCACCAGTTTGTATATCCAATCCTGTGAGTATATTCGTCAGATGAGCTGTCCGTTGACGACGACGAAGACAGATCTTCGTCAGTTTCAACATTATTGCTACTAGCTAGCGGTTCAGTTTAAACATGAAAATTTTAGCAGCATCAAAAAAAAGTGGTTGCAAATTATCGTCGAATTGGGCCCAATCAATTTCCAACCATGTATACTGGTGTGCTGCTTCCAGCAATGGTGATGAAGAACTTGTCAAGGCAAAGTGGTTGTCAGTTCTCAATCATATATGTGACATCCATGAGGGACATAGTGATGTATTCCCAAAATGTGAACATGATATGTTAGAGCCTAGAATGTGGATAAAAAAAGGTATTGTAAGCAAATAAATTTCAAAGTAACATCAACATTCTTTTTCTTTTTGTTAACTAACTTCTGATCTTAGGTTCAAAAGCTTATGTTGAGCTGTCTTCGATTGTTGAGTCCAAGTATCTCATTAGAGATATTGGAAAACTCAGTTATCAGAAGCAGACTTCATCCATCGAAGGTTTCCACCGAGTGGTGATTCTTTTTGCACCAAAACATACCCATTTTTTCTACAGATCAATGGAAGCATGGTAATATAATTATGACTAGTGTATGATTACTTAAAAAAGTCATCATTGCAAAAGCAATAAGTTGCAATAGTTGTAAACATAAACTTAAAGTGGTACTATGACGAAAACCTAACGTTAAAAAATCATCGATTTTAGCATTCAATAGTTTAAACACATATCAATTATTGCTTTCGTAAAATTTAAGCAAAAATAATAATATAACGAGGGAGTTATGAACATTTGAAATGTCTAATTTTCATGTCCGCCATTAAAATCGGCCATTTTGAATATTTGCAATCAGCAAAGGTCAGTGACGTCATAGTCTTAACACGGAGAGAAGCGCACATTGGAAAGTATACAAAGAAAAACATAAATAGAGCAAAAAAATGTCAAATTAATCGAGATCTAGCTCGCTCTCTGAGTCTTCGATCGAGACAAACGCATCGATTTCTTCATCGGAATTTGTGACGGCATATTTGAACGAATCTAATTCGGAAATTTTGCCATTTATCGATAATATTGAACCGCTTGCTTCGCCAGTTCGCCCGATGAAATTGCTGAGTACGAAGCTACAGTCGCAGAAGAACGGCGGGTTGAAGACATGCTGCAAGATCGTTTTGATGCCCGTGTTGATGTTACTTCATGGTAAGATGTCATTCTTAGTGTGTTACTTTGATCTGAATCGTCTGCCGTTAGCTATGATAACTTTATGGAAACATACAATTTGGCCAACATTAAAGGTGTGAATGTGGCCATTGTTCGTTGGATCTTGTTGTCAACCCTCAAGAGTGCCGATGCTGCATGGAAATAGAGCAATGCCGTGGTAAAATGTATCAGTTCGAAATCGATGAAAGGAAATGCATTTTGGATCATCCTGGCTTTAACGAAGTTTGCCTGAACGAATTTGTTCTTCAAGCAGCTTCATTAGGTTTAAAGACCAAAGGTCATCGCATGATACAGACACTTCATTTTGTATTTCCTTTAAAACCTTAGTATAAATGTATATTATATATTGAAAGTTTGCCTGGATGTATTATTGGTTCTCTCAAATTGTGAAAATTTATCATCTGCAATATGTGTAAGTATATAATAATTGCAACTTGTGCTAACCTGACGCCGCTCTCTTGACGTTGTTGGTGTTTGTGGTTTCTTCCAAATAGTAGGTACGGCACCAGGTTTGAGCCGTCTAGTCATACCACCCAAATGGAATAAACGCTCAAAACAATCATCCGAGATGTGATTCGAACAAATCATAAATCGAATTTTGCGCGAACTCGGATTAAAGTTTGCGCGCTTCGTCTGAACAAATTTAACCCAAATTCTTCTCAAAGACTCGCCGTTTGGGCTTTTATGTAATGAAATGCCTGTACTTCTATCAGACGTATTACTGCAATCTTGCACGACACAGCGTGTTGAAGGCATGTTAAAAAAATTGAGATATACAACCTTTTAAATCTCTATTTGTATATAGTGTTATATTGTAAACAGCCGCGAGTTAAGACTATGACGTCACAAGCACCTTCCTTCTTGAAAATTCAAATATGGCACATTTTAATGGCGGCTCTTAAAGTTCAAGTTTTATCGCGACGTAACTCGAGCAGCATGAAATACATTGCGCTAAAATTTCGCCAGAAGAGATTTCTTAGCATACACTATTAATCTATGAAAAAAAACGAGAGGCAAACGAAGAGGAGTGAAAGAAATACCTGTCCCATTGACTCACCACAAATCAAAAATCAGCAAAGCTGAAGCCATTAAGCAACATAAATCTCGCTTTAATAAATAAAAAGAAATAACGTCCCACATGAAATAAACATAATTACAAATGAACAGACTTTGTCATACGCCATAAGCCCTACCATTCAGTAGTGTTGAGCATATTTAAATCCTTTGTATTCTCCAGAAGGCGAAAGAAATGCTTTCCGGATTTTGTCCACAGCACAAGAAGGTATGGGTAGTCGGTACTTTTTTCCCAACCTGCCATGCCCCCAAGCCGTCCACTTTCGGTATGCCGTGTAGCGTAATGCTCTGAACGATACAAAATTTTGTCTAAGATACTTATCGGCATTATACACTTGTCGACATAAACGTAATTACACTTCTAAGGTAATATTTACTCGTTTTCTTCACTCTCAGGCATAGGTCCAATGTCATGTGTGTACACGACCATAGCTGTTTTTAAGACAGCTTCGTTTGTACATACTGTGGCAAACTCTTCCTCTTGTGTGATGCAAATATGATCGCCATGTATCAGAGGATCAGTGTTGTTTACCTCTTGGCAACATATACTTTCCCGTCCTGTACTCATGACCACACAAAAGCCACACTCGCACCTAAAAGATAAAAACATTCTTTCTACTTTGGGAAAAACAATGAAGCATCAATAAAATGCAACTAACCATTCAACATTTCCAATTCTGTGAATGTATTCATATTCGCTTTCCGATGACGAAGAATTGTCATTACTATGACCACCTTCCGCGTTGGCCAAAGGCTCAAACATGTAAGGTTGTACCTCATTGTTATTGACGACAATATCATAATCGGCTTCTTCTTCAGAAGAATCCATTAATTTTTGTTAAATAAAAAACAGTAATAGCAAACTACCGAAAGCCGTGCAAGAATTGCGTGCAAGTCGTAGAACGATGTAAGAACGAAGCTTGTTTATGTCAACTATTACGTCACTCTTTCCCAGTTCCCAGACTTAAACAATCTCATGGCGTTTTAGCAATGGTCATCGAATATCGTGTTTTTACCGATTATAACCCTAAATATCTTTTTAAATATTTCGCGGACGACTTTGAAACTTGGTACGTCTTATTTTTACGCTATAGGCATTACAATAAAATAAAGTTGTCTTCTAGCTTGCATGTGTCCTTAAAAACAAGAATATTCAGTTGATTAATCTTTGATAAACCTTTCACCTTTACTTGTCACAAGCTCGGCACTTAAAGCGCAAGGCTCAGGGGCGGATCTAGGGTATGTCAAATCAGTCACGCGACTGATGTTTATAGTTCCAAATTTATTTATCAAATTTAATGATTACAATTTTTGTGATCATTAAATTTCCGTCATTCCCGGATTTCATCGTCAAAATTCTGTTTTATACATGAAAACTTATATAAATACGTTGGTACTTAGTAAACAGATCAGTGGATTTTAACATATATGGAATTATAACGGGCGACTGATAAGCGGGGGGGCTCGACTGTTTCGACGGATAACGGAGTTCAAAAACGCTTATTTAAGCCATTCTATTGGTCAATAGCCAGATCAGTGGACGATATGGAATAGTCTCGACCGATAAGCGGGGTGGCCGGACGGATTGGTTAAATTTTCGCCTTACTGTTATTGGTTTGACTGATTTCGACTGATGGCCAACTGAACTAACATAGTCAAGCTCACTGTCTGAATTGAATGTTTGATCGTTTCATAGTAATTTTCTAAAGCATGACTGAAACTACAATCAAATGGAATTTAGGGAATCTTTTACAAATTCACATTTTGACGTGAATGCTGCTGTCCACACTGTGAATTTTTTCAAGAGGGTGAAAAATTTATGGATGAATTGTAAATGCTTGGCAAAGACGATCTCGCGAGCGACATTGCAGTCATTGATGTTCAAAAGCAAGCCAAAATTGTTTTGAGTTTTATCAGCAGAAATTTACATCCACAATCTTAAGTAAAGGACAACTGAAGTGTCTGCATGAATGTAAAATATCAAAGTCAATTTATGCGAGTATGTGACGCAATTTATGTCAATGTGGCGTATGGTAAGCAGATTGATGCTTCTAAAATTGTTATTGCCGAAGGACTTTTAGCTATGATTCCTTTAATGTTTGGGGAATCTTGGCCTTTATGTGGCAGCGAAATCCTGCATTCCTTCAATTGTATTTCAATGGACAAAAAATCTGTAGCCATAAGGCGCCATACTATTATTTACTTTATCATAAACAAATGTTTGGGGCTTTTCAGTTTATGACCATTGATCATTTAATCATTGGACAGTTATACTACATATTGTTTAAGATTTGAGAAAACTAACATTGATTACATGAGAAGCTGTTTACTATAACCTGTGATTATGAGTCTCTCTGATCCATGAAGCTTTTTATTTTGACAATTTGACTGGAATGGTATTAAACCTAAGTATTTCACATACATGAAATGTTGTCCCATGTCACATATTGTCCCCTTTTCTAACTGAACACCTCATGTAGAGATGTCAAGGTGTGTTGATCTACGGCTCATACCAGATTGTTTGCCAGAAACTCCTAAGGGCTATTGATGTATGAAAAGCCTTTTCTATAAAACAAAATTGTGTTCCTAGGTTTGCAGATAAACCTTGAAATTAGGCAAAACAGAAAAGTATTTTCATGATCACTAGGTAATTTTTCTGATGATCATTATAATTTGTAAACTAAATTATTTCAGGTTTACATTTAAACTAGTTTTGATCATATGAAAAGATATTTATCATGACCAGTAAGCATGACAGGTGAACCAATTTTAACATTCATTTAATTATATGATTAAAGGCATGTTGGTTACATTCTGTTTGTATTGGCAAATACAATGCTACTGGGAATTGCTATATAGCACACCTTGCATATACTTACAGAAGATAATAGTTTAGTGAAAGGCCTAATAAACAATAATGGCATTAAGCTGTCCTTAATCGCAAATTTTTACTCCAATAATCTTTGTTTAATCTTTGGCAGAAAATAATTTTGAGTTTTTTCTCAAAAGGTGAATTTGCTGGCACTGTATGTGGAGATGGGTAAAGGTTTACAATAAACTTGCATGGTTTAAAGTCTGAGCTTTTCTATATCTACGAACTGTCACTTGTAGTACCAAATTTCTAACTTAACTCATTACATAGAGGTTTGAATGGGGGTCTCTAGGGGAGTCTATGCCTGAGAAATTGGTAGAAATTTTTAAAGACTATATCTGTTTTTGAATAGCATTACTGTAAAATAAATTGTACGTTCCTAGACATGTTAATGACAAAATTCTTCACTTTGATGATACAAGTATGAAACTTTCTCACATTCTTACTATGCCTAGTAACACAAAATTTTGATATAGGGCCAGCCCATATTTTACATTTATAACGAGTTCTGCGAATGTCGTGTTTGATGACGTCATCGGTAGTAAAAAAAATAAAGTTCAGAGAAATCTGCAATTTCCCTGTATATTCTTATACAACAGCTAAAGACGATAAAAAAACTTTATTACAACTTTTGCTTTTGAGCAGTACATTCTGAAATATTCTACATTAAAAGTGTTTTAAAAGTGCTGACTCAGCACTTTTGTTTAGTGCTTTTGCTCTTTCTTAAATACATTGGAAAAGCGCCTAACGAAGAACAGTAATATTAAAATGATTTTAATGCCCTCATGTTATTGACAATCACCCCCTCAATTACACAAACGAGTACAAACTAAGTGTGCTTTGACGCATTTACAACGACTAGAACATGAACTTTTGCAGCCGCAACGAATAAGTTCATAACAGGCATCTTTAACTTGAGGGAGATTTGTCCACTTTGGTAACCAAGAATTTTCATCACGGTACCAGCCCCAACTTGACGGAGTTGGTATAACCTGCTCTTTCAAGCAGCACTGCCCCCAGAAAAATCCACCATGCAACAATGCACGCTTAGTGTACTGGAGAAACGCTTCTTGGGTTGGTGGAATGTTATCCAGTGTTCTGGACTTTTTGGCAAACAACTCTTGTCTAGCCTCATTGACTCTGGTGACATTACTTGTACGATCGTATAAGAGGACCACATATCGCTCAATCACCTGCAAAACATATGAATCATAATAAAGACCTTATTTCATAGATAATACATGCCTTTGGCGGTTTCTGAATTACCTGCAAGGACGAACAATCAATCCTTTCTGGCAACAAATTTAGCTCTAGCAACGCCAATGTTAGCTCTGGAAATACATTCAATACATCCCATGCAGTTTTCTTTCTTCGACCTCCAAAAAAGGAAACAGTATCACACCCCGTAAAAGCGTGAAACAACGGTAGAACAGATGCCTTGTCAGGTCCGATAGTCGATGCTATTGTATGCGCGGGAATATAACACGAGTGCTTTCCTGTGCCATAAAGAATCCATAATTCTTCTGCTTTGATGTTTTTCACAATTGAAATGGCCAGTATCAATACGTCAGTATCATTTGTTCTTACAACAATCCTCTGGTGGCCGCAGTCACTTGCATCTAACAAGTGCACCATCAATCGTGTGTCAGCCTCTTCATGATTACATGGTTCCAACATTGATACTTCGGTTCTTTTAGGGAAGCACAAGACCTTTTCTTCAAATGTACTTTAAATTTCTCTTCCTTCTGGAATCTGCTGGGAAATAACTTTCTGCGCTAAGAATCACCGATAACATCCCCGATCACTGTCAATGACATTCCGCTCGTAAACGTTCAATCCTTCAAGTATCTTGGCAGTACTGTCACCAGCGACTGCTCCATTGACAGACCACAACCGCATACAGTGTGCCAGTTCGTCATTCGGCAGGCTGTGGAAACGTCTGTGGTCTTCGCATGACATTAAAGTTACTACAAAGATCGCCGTGTATAATGCAGTGGTACTGTCGACTCTCTTGTATGGTGCCGAATCATGGACGTTATACCGTAGACACGTCACACGTCTCCGTCGGCTACAACAACGTCACCTACGCGCAATCCTCCGCATTTACTATCAACAAAGAGTAACGAATGACGACGTTCTGACGAGAGCCAACTCCATGGACATTGAGATTACCCTCGACAAAATGCAGCTAAGGTGGGCTGGTCATGTTGCTCGCATGGCAAATAATCGATTACCCGAACAGCTACTCCTTGGAGAGCTCGCTGAAGGAAAGAGACGTACTGGTCGTCCGCTCCTGCGTTGGAAAGACTCTTTCAAATACACTTTGAAAACATGTCAAATTTCAATAGATAATTGGCAGCTAAAAGCGGCGGATTGATGCGACTGGAGAGACAAGTCACGTAACGGTCTCAACATGATGGATGATTTGAAGCGGCGGAGCAACGCTGTTAAACGATCAAGGCGTCACGCTACCAGGAACGCCTCCACTGTCGCAGACTCGGGAGAATTTCGTTGCCAACACTGCAACAGGAGCTGCGCAAGCCGCATTGGCATGTTAAGTCACGAGCGCGCTTGTGGAAGTCAGTGAACTAGATGGACTTTTGCAGTCAGCCATCGCCGATTCGACGGGCAGCATCTCTCGTATGTCGTCTACGGCATGAAAACGGCAACATCTACAGATAGTCAGAAAACTAGGATTTTTACTTTTGTTTTGCATGCTGAAAAAATTCCATGTTTTTATTAGGAAAATTTTTTAATCAATTAATGTCGAAATTGGGCTGCTCAATGGTGGCGTGGTTTTATTCATCTGCAAAAGAAAAACTATGTTAAATTACTCATTCAGTTTACTTAAATAATTGATTATGCCTTTAAGGATTTGTGGGATTTTTTGCAGTTGTGAATAGTTTAATAAGAATATTATTCTTACCATGATATTATTGATATATCGTCGTTTATAGTTCGCTTGTCTTTAAGATTGGCAGATTAACCAGTGGGAATCGCATCTTAGTTGGATAAACAATAGTCTGCTGTGGATGGATAAAGTATTTTTACTTTATTCCTAAAGCAATCAAATAAATCCACTTATATGAATGCCACTAGGTACGTACGTCGGATATAAGAAATTATCTTGCGCTACAACGTCATCTCATACGCACGAGAAACAAAACAAGTGAACAAAACTTTAATCGTTACGGCACTTTTTTCACATTTAACCAACACTTGCTTTTTTATATAAATAATACAACAATTATTGCATTGGGTTTTCACGTAATACAAAGAATTATCAAGGCATCAATGTGTTCTAACTGCCTCAGCGTTGGTAGACTGAACAAACCTTGGCCTTCATAAGTCTTAATTCATATACTATTTCATTCAATAATTGTTTAATATCACGCTAAGCAAATTGTATATTATAAATTTAATCATGCAGTTTGAGTTAACAAAATTTAAAACTTGCACAAATCTAATACCTGCACTAAAATGAACGTTTCTAAAGGTACGCATTATGTATATGTGTCCATTCCATTTTGCTTTACTTATAATTGAAGGACAACGAAAGACACATGCTCACTTTCTTTAAGTGCACATGCCAATAATGTTATTGTGTATTTTTCTCAACTTACACAGACAAGAAAATACAAATATGTTAACTATGAGATTACGGAGTAAAATAAGTTAAATTCTCCCTGTCTAAGTTGAGAAAATCAAACAAAGGAAAAATGGCATCTATATACTTTACCCAGCAATCTATGATGATAATTACATGTTACCTTAAATCTGGAACCACCTTGCTTGCCTGGAGCATATTTTAAAAATTCGGCAATTTGCTCTTCAACGTTGGCCTCGCTGCAACCTTTATGAGCTTTGAGGCTGGCTTCTAACAAGTGAAACGAAACAGAAAAGACATACTTTAAATAAATTGCATAGATAAAACACTAAATCATTTTCGTGAGCTGAATGATAAACAACAATTCATTATAGTGACATATGCAAAACAGTTTAATGTATTAGCTTTTACAATTTGCAACAGTATTCCTTATGACAAGGAGCAACATAAATGGCTGTTTTTCCAATTCATGAACGAGAAAAAAGGGACACAACATGGTACTGCTGCAGCAAACATTATCGTCTAATTTTGCTTACTTGTTACAACTTTGCAGAGGGCAAGGTGCTGAAATGATCGCTTTGACTTTCTGCTTTTTAAACTATATTGGGACCATAGATTATTTGTTCCCAGCTTTGTAATAATTCTTCTAACACTGTTTGCACAGGTGTTTGCGCACAGTGCTACCAAAAACTGCAGCTAGTAAAGAGAGTAAAAGATAAATTATATGGAAAAGTTCAATTTAGACATATATATATATATAACCATTTTGATCTCGAAATGCAAAACAAAACCATCCAAAGTAAATGGTGAGAGCTTTTAGAAAGACCTGTTTCTTCGTTAAACTTTTTAAACAAAAATAAAACGACACACTACTAAGAGCCTTTTGAAGTAACGTAACGTATTTAAATCAATAACAGCACGACAATGCTCTCACGAAAAACACGATGCTAGATTCATATAGTTTCATCAGATAATCTGACCCCCTAACGTCACGAAAATGGTCATTAAAATTACGTTTCAGACTTTGACAAACGTGCATGTTTTCACGCTTCAAACACAAATGGTAGAAAAAAAGTCAATATTATGTTACATAATTGCAAATGAAACTATCGTTTTCACGTTTTCAAACCGATAAAGGGGAAGAGCTATGCCTTCCTTTGCCACATTTTTTTTACGTAACACTTGAAAGAATCATGCATAAAATATAGGCAGTGCCAATAAATATTACTAAATACGTATGGGTGGTTAACTTTCCAAAACTTACCGACTTTCTTCTGGACTTTTCTTCATCAAGACTAGAAGATAGGTCCTCAAGTTCTTCAACCGAATTTAAAGGATTAGGTACTACATCTTCCAAAATTTCGTCCTCGTCTACACCTTTCTTAGCGCTTAACAGAGCACGCAATATTGACAACGCTTCTTCTTGCTTATCAATTAATGTTTCCAGTTTGGTGAGAAGTGATCTTTGGAAGCCTACAAAATAGATAAGAAAATAACAGAACAACTTACGTATAACTTACGTAATATCTTACAAATATAAAACCTTACAACATGCTAACAAGAAAATTCAAATAAAACTCGCATCAAATTGCTAATTGAATACACAAACATAATAAATACGCTATTCAAAAACTATATACTGTTCAAAAGGTACCATTATTGTTTGGTTGAGAACGTCTTCCTGCAGGTGTTATGTTCATAAAACGTGTCGAAGGCGTTTCGTGCGATGAAAGGTCATGCGCATCTGCAAAGTAATCACGTGTTGCAGATAGTTGTGAAGAAAATAAAACATTTCAAACAACACGAAATGAACGTAAATGAAAACGTAACAACAAGACAAGCAATAATGAATTGTAAGAAAAGCTTGCCTAAGACACCACTGTTTCGTTAAGAATGTCTTTCTCTTGTCGTGTTAGTTGTAGGAATTCCTTGTGAAGAGACGTTGCTTGTATCTACAGAGAACACACGTACTGGGTTTAACATATATCTTTATTGCACGAACGAACGTCATTTAAATTAAGACACTACAATTTTCATAAGTCAGAAACAGAAAGGTGACTAAAATAAAAACCTCGAGAAAGTTTCATTTAGTAGTTTGATAGCAAACGCTGAGAATTAGATTTGAACGAATGTATTTTGAATAAATCGTGGTGAACACAACAGCAATTTTAACTATAACTAACATTTTTTTAACTAATTACAACAACAATTTAAAGGACCAACGCCTACAGCACCTGTAGAACATACATAAGCCCTATAATGCAACGATGGGCGTAGAAAAACAATAAATGTGCAATACGAATGTTAAAGTCATTCAAAGTGATTTCAACATTTTAGTCGACATATTATATGAAAGTTGCTGTTTAGTCAGTTCTGATGACAGACAACTTACCACTACGCTGAGATGGTGTCCTAATAGTAGATGGGGAAGTTATTGCATGATGCTTTGTGTTTTGGATTTCTGGTGCTAGTTTACCGTCATATAAATCTAGATCAACATTATATTAGTATGAAAAGAGAAATTTTATACATGCATGTTTCTGTCAAAAAATTCTCCTCTTTTAAGGATTATAATAGCGCTTATACCTTTTTCTGCAAGGGAGATCAGCTCGCTGTACACCGGCAAATCTAAAAAGCAGAATCAGTCATTAGATTTAAATGAGACATAGCAATATGTTAAAAACTGCACTCCTTTGAATAAAGTAATGGCCTATTGCATTGCAGCTACAGTACTTATTTCTAGAATTTGTTGATAAGATTTCATTGACGGCTGAAAGAAATTTTGCCTGTATAAAAAAGAAACTGTCTGAATTCTGTAGCTTTCCATCTATCAACCTCCATTAAAATCCTAGGTTTTCGCACAAATGTAGAGGGGATAAATGGTTTAAGCTTCACCAATTTTTTACTAACAGCCTCTACACGGGCAACAGAAATTTAAACAGCGCGATTTCCCCTCATCCAAACCATAATCAATCTACGCATAACACGCAGACACAGTTGATGCATGTAGTCAATTAGAAATTGTTTTACCATATCAACAGGCAAGTGACAGAAAGGGCTAACAAAGCGATGATGTTCTTCTTGTATCTGCTTTCTAAAGGAAATATTAGTGCGCAATTCCATATTATTATTTTGAGAGTAAGTAACTTGAGCAAGCAACTTCCATTTTTGTGTACACTTGTCACAACCAAAATAACCAGTACAAAGTTTTGTACCTTCAACAAGTGCTCTTGCAGGAGTATCACAAACAATGCCCCTTACTGTAACAGTCAGAACCTTTTCCCCATCTTGGACTTCCCTCTCTAGAATACCCTTCAAATCTTCTATAAACTCATCCTAAAACTCCAAGACTTTTGGCTTGAAATCACCACATGTTAGGACAACAGGAAACACTACAACAGGATTAATATTCAAAATGGCACACAACACTTGTAACTTATTCTCTTCTTTACATGCATGTATTATACCTAATTTAAACATAACCCTAAAATTTTAAGTATTACATTATAGTTTACTTGCTAATAACAGCAAATGGAAAATGTTCTAAGCAACTAAATAAAAATAATTTAACTGACATTGCAAGATTACTAAAGAAATAGGCTAAGTTAATAAACCAATCTAACAGATGAAAAAGTGGGCTGTAAACTACATATTTTCTTGAATGCAATAATTGAACAAACGATACTTACTAGTATTATAAAGCAACCATGCATTGTTATCAATAAACATTCAATTACCTCTTTGTAAAATTATATCACTGTTTAAAAACTGCTGTGATTTGCAATAGAAACTACAACTATTTTAAGGTTTAAGGCTACGTGATTCTTAATCAAAAACATTTTGTAAATCACATAATCACATAACCCCATGTTAAAAATTATTAATCATCATTGCGCATCAGTCAGTCAGTTAAAATACTTCCAGATATGCCAAAATGTGATATTTACGTAAGATTTTATTTGACTCTTAACTTTTTAGAATGTTAAATGATTTGAAAGATCAAATGTTCAAAGTTTTGAGCCATCAACTAGTAAAAGGTTTGTAAGACTAAAGATAAAAAATTATGGTGTGTGTTAACGATCTGATTCTATGTATAAATGAGTTCTTAAATAAAGTTGTTCGTTAACTATAATTAATACACTTTTAATAAATATTAGTCTCAACCTGGTAATATAAGATATACATCATAGATACATGTAGCACTTTGCAATCCTGTAATTGTACACCAATCAAACCAAGTTACAAATACAAACATATTAAGTGCTTACCAAAAAAATCACTGCCATTCATCTAAGATAAGGCGTGTTTATCATGATGTGTTTAATTGTAATTTAATTTATCTTTATGAAAAGTGGTTTTTGCCTTTTAGCATCGTTATTATTTTGGAAATGTAGCTTTTCTTTTAATGTTTATCAATAAACCATTTATACTAAAGACTTCAACAAGCACAATTTAGACGTTCATGACATATAACTGTGCAATGATATTGTGTTATTCAACGGGCAAAAGTACCATTAATATAAGAATAAAACTGACATATCGAGCTGTAGTTTTTTACCAATCGCTCCCAAAGTACCTTAAACATGGTATAATGTAATATAATTTACACTTTCATTTCTATTGATGAATTTGATCCAAATTAAATTCAAACTTATAAGGAAAAACAATAAAAATCATAAGGCCGTATCTTTGCTTTTACATAACAATTAACTTTTAATGTTTTAAATTCAGTTGCACAAAATAAATTGCCACGTATCAACTCAACGGACGAAGCCATTTGACGCTTAACTTATCAGAACGTTAAGAAATCTGAAAGATCGAAAGTTCAAAGCTTCAATCGTCGACCAGTAAAGGTTTGTAAGACAAAAGACAAAGAATTATCGTGTGTGTTAACGATGTATAAATGAGATCTTACATAAAAGTTGTTCGTCAAATATAATTAATACACTTTTAATAAATATTGGTCTCAACCTAGTACTATAAAATATACATCATAGATACTCGTAGCAACTTGTGATCCTGTAGTTGTACACTAATTAAACAAAGTTACAAATACAAACAATTTGCTTATCAAAAAATCACCGTCATCTAAAGGAAATCGTGTTTATCATGATGTGCTTGCTGGCTAAGGAATTCAAATTACTTGCTAGCATGCAATTATATTTATCTTTGGGTCCAGACGGTATATTTATAAAATATGTGTTATTTCATTATGCTTGTGATAGTATGAAATGACATTTATAAATCAGGAGGAAAATTTAGTTTGAAATTGCAAATGGACTCATGCATGTCATCATTGAATAGTTTAGATATATAAGTCGTTTTAGAAGTAAAAATATTGATCAGGAGTGTGTTATCTTTGTGATTAACTAGTTTTTAAGTCCACATTTTGAATGCGGCTAAAAAAATTGCTAACCTTTTTAACGTTACAATTGTCTTTCGTCAAGCTTTGGTTGCTAAGGTTCATGTATGCAAATTCATCGCATTGTAGTTACCATTATATTAAAAACAGATTTGAGTATTGCAACTTATTAATTCTTTTTAACACTCTCACTTTATGGTCATACTTGCAAAATATCTTAAAAACGGTATATTTTAGTAAAATTTATACTTATGTCTATTGATAATTTGTTTCAAATTATAATCAAAATAATGAACAAAAACAATAAAAATCATAAAGCCGTATCTTTGCTTTACATAACAATCTATTCTTAAAGGGGTTATATCACGAATTTTAGCCCCCCTTTTTTATTAGCTAAATTGAAAGACCTTATTTCAGTGATTTTAAATCTGCAATTATAATTGAAATTGGATTGGTGAAAGTGATTTTATGGACGTTCAAAGTCACGATTTTCAGCATTTTTTTTTCGAACTTTTTGATCGGTATGCTAATGAGTTGTGACGTAGTTAGTTGAACACATATATCAACATGGCGTATTCTACTAGTAATCTTAATAAGAAACGCGGAGGAAAACGCTGTGTTGCTGGCGGACCTAATCAAATTAGTTGCGCCAATGATTCAAAAACAGAAGGAATGTCGATGCATCTGTTTCCTAATAAAGAAACAGAGCCGCAAAGACATAGAAAATGGGTAAATTTTGTGCGTAAACATAGACCGGGTTTTGAGGCTTCCTCTACCTTCTGTCTGTGTTCTGCGCATTTTGAAGATTCTTGTTTTGACCTTAATTTGAGCGTGCAAGTCAAGCTCAAAAGAAGGTTGAAGAAAGATGCTATCCCAACCATTGACGTGGCTGGGATTCCTGAACCATTACAGGACGAAATAACCGATCGAAAGCGCAGACAAGTAAGTTTACGCTTGTTTATGTTAATTTTTCTTTTGTCATATGTAAATTCGATATATGTTTTGTAGATTATTCGACATACTCTCCATAAGCCATCGCTGAAGGAAACATGTTCTCTCGATGAGGAAGTACCATCTACTAGTGATGGAGCTGAGCATGTTGAAGTATGCACTGGGGAAGCAAACGATTCGCCATTTGAAGAAGAACTACATGCAGTTGGTGAAGATATTTGTGAATCCCAGTCTCCATGTAAATCGTGCCATCGTCTTAAGAAAAAACTTACATCTTTACAAAAGACTTTAAGCTGGTATAAAAAGACAAAAGCATCTTTGAAGAAAAAGGCCCAGAAGTTGCAAAATGAATATCGACGTGAAATCAGGGAAAATCGTAATACATTCGTGGTTACCAGCATTGATATAGACGATGAAATGCAGGGGAGTGCTGAAGAGCTTTTCGAAGAAGAATCATACATGGACTACTCCTCTTTCGAAGAGTCTAGTCAGAGTGAAGATTTAGATGAAGATACCACAAGTAATACAGTCAGGTATTTTATCTTATAAAGAATTAGATCTCTGTTGTATTTCATAATAATGAATTTTCTTAATCGTGTTACAGAAAAGTGATAGTACCCTCTAGCCTCCCTATCTGGGCACTGATATACACACCTTTCCTGATGATTACAGTATTAATATAACATTGAATGGTATGTATACTTGTCAGATTGAAGATGACTATCTCACTCGATTGTGCAACTAATTAATTTTCATGAATAATTTTTTTTATTGTAGTTTAATGCTCAACATGCCCTTTGTGGATGCAGTGCACTCAAGTGTGAAGACCTTATAAGATAAGTTCATGTGGCTTGCTATTTTCCATTTTTACATTTATGCTATGATTTAATTCCATATAATTTTTCTTTTTTTTTTCCCAGACTGACATTGAAGAAAAGATTTTCTTTACCGTATAGTGCATCCATGTATCTCCTATTTGGTTTTCATCTAGGCATATTTCCTGACCATTCTAAACTCAGCAAAGAAGGCCAACAGTCTCTACAGTGCACAAGTTAAAAGACCTTTCCATCATCGCCCCTCTGAAGGTATGTAACCTTTTGTGTTACCACTTGGATATGCTTTCCGAATAAAGTGGTAAACACAGGCAGGTAAAGGCCGAGTACTCTCCCATCCCATAGACCCACAAAACCATCGCATCAACCATCTGTATGCCACAGCTCTCAAGTACCTGAAGTAAATAAAAAGGTTGGACTAATTATTGTTGATGAAACAATGTTGATGATAACATTCTTTCTCATACAATTTACAATCTTACATATTTAATGATTGTGATGCTTGGCGGCGATAAGCACGTCCATTCCTATCTCTCAATAGTGGCCCGACGTTTTCAAGGACAGCCTCATGAACTAAAGGCCCAAATTTGGCATGCTGTGTTATGCATGATATTTTCTCAATGCTGCCATCGAATGTCATTTTCTGCAAAGCTGGTCCTATTTCCTTATAGCATCTGTACTCTAATGCGCCTTCTAACAAATCGGTATGACAGCATTGACAATTACACCTGAAACGTGGGAGCATTGTGGTTTATAAAGTAACTTTATGTATATTACAAACAGGAGAAAACAACAACTTACCATTCACCGAGTGGACTTACGTCATCACTTCGTTGTTCTAAGGTCGCAGGGAGAATTCCATCGGGATCATCTGGAGTATGCACTTCATCACCATCTCCTGCGAGCGGTTCATCGTCATATGCGAAGTCGTTTAAATGCTCGACATAACCCACGGATTCCGAGCTCGAATCAGATACGCATTCAGACATCGAATTCGAATTATCTGAGCACTGATTTGAAGCCATACTTTCCGGACAACTTGTTTTTTAATATTTTATTGAAAATACTGTCATTATTTGTTTTTAACACAAGAAAAACGACAACAAAATCACCTCCTATAATATAATATTATATTGACGGAAACAGACGTGTTCAACTATCTACGTCACAAGTATCAATATGGCGTCGTAAAAAATTCGCAAAAAGTACCCGACTTTGGAGCCAAAATTAAGGAACTTATATTTATCTGTTTAAGTCCAGCGACATGTCATAGTTCTTCAAATAATCCAAATTTTCAATTAAGCTAATAAAAAAGGGGGGCTAAAATTCGTGATATAACCCCTTTAAGATGTTTTAACTTCCGTAGCATAAAATAATTTTCCACATATCGACTCGAAGGAAGAATATATGATGCTTAAGTTGTCAGAACTTTAAATCTTTCTAAAAGTTCAACTGTTCAGTGCTACACGCCGTTAACCAGTAGAGGCTTTGTAAGACAAAAAACAAAAAATTTTCATGCACGATTACGACGTATAAATGTGACCTATGGAAGCTTGTAAATTCTGTAATTGTAGATAAATCAAACAAAGTTACAATTCCAAACAAGAACAATATGCTTACCAAAAACAAATCACTGTCATCTTAAAGAAGGTAAGGCTTTTTTTAAAGTATATTTAATTATTTATGACTCACCACGAAGTACATTTACTTTAAAATCGCAAATGGACTCATGCATGTCATCATTGAATAGTTTAGATATTTAAGTCGTTTTAGAAGTAGAAATATTAATCAACAAGTGTGTTTATCTTTGTCATAAACTATAGTATTGCTTGTTCAATTTAGTAAGTCCACATTTTAAATGGAGCTAAAGAATTTTGCTTATCTTTGTGACGTTGCAAGTGTCTTCCGTCGATGCTAAGTTGTTGACGCTAAAGTTGATATGTGCAAATTCATCGCATTAAATAATACAAGTTAGGCAATCTGAAAATTATGAAAAAGCTATAGAGTTTCACAAAAAAGATATGGAAAGTCAAGTCCAATCGTCAGGTCCAAATTATGCTGATGATACTCAGTCTTTGAACAATCTTGGTAATTTGTTTTATAAAAGTGGAAATTACGAAAAAGCTATAGAGTTTTACGAAAAAGCTCTGGAAATTCAAAAACAATCGTTCGGTCCAAATCATGTTGATGTCGCTACGTCTTTAAACAATCTTGGTGACGTGTTTTATGAAACTGGAAACTACGAAAAAGCTAAAGAGGTTCACGGAAAAGCTCTAGAAATTCGAAAACAATCGTTAGGTCCAAACCATGTTGATGTTGCTGATTCTTTAAACAACCTTGGTTTGGTGTTTGAAAAAACTGAAAACTACGACAAAGCTATAAAGGTTCACGAAAAAGCTCTAGAAATTCGAAAACAATCGTTAGGTCCAAATCATGTCGCTGTTGCTCAGACTTTAAACAATCTTGGTTTGGTGCTTTATAAAATTGGAAACTACGACAAAGCTGAAGAATTTCACGGAAAAGCTCTTGAAATTCGAAAACAATCGTTAGGTCCAAATCACTTTGATGTTGCTCAGTCTTTAAACAATCTTGGTGATGTATTTTATGTAACTGAAAACTACGAAAAAGCTATAGAGGTTCACGAAAAAGCTCTAGAAATTCGAAAACAATCGTTAGGTCCAAATCATGTTGATGTTGCTGATTCTTTAATCAATCTTGGTAATGTGTACTATAATACTGAAATCTACGACAAAGCTAAAAAGTTTTACGAAAAAGCTCTAGAAATTCGAAAACAATCGTTAGGTCCAAATCATGTTGATCTTGCTGTTTCTTTAAACAATCTTGGTAATGTGATGAAAAAAATTGGAAACTACGACAAAGCTATAGAGGTTCACGAAAAAGCTCTAGAAATTCGAAAACAATCGTTAGGTCCAAATCATGTTGATGTTGCTGATTCTTTAAACAATCTTGGTTTGGTGTTTTATAAAATTGGAAATAACGACAAAGCTAAAGTGGTTCACGGAAAAGCTCTAGAAATTCGAAAACAATCGTTAGGTCCAAATCATGTTGATGTCGCTCTGTCTTTAAACAATCTTGGTAATGTGCTTGAAAAAATTGGAAACTACGACAAAGCTGAAGAGGTTCACGAAAAAGCTCTAGAAATTCGAAAACAATCGTTAGGTCCAAATCATGTTGATGTTGCTGATTCTTTAATCAATCTTGGTAATGTGAATTATAATGCTGAAAACTACGACAAAGCTATAAAGTTTTACGAAAAAGCTCTAGAAATTCGAAAACAATCGTTAGGTCCAAATCATGTTGATAATGCTGATTCTTTAAACAATCTTGGTTTGGTGCTTGACAAAACTGGAAACTACGACAAAGCTATAGAGGTCCACGAAAAAGCTCTAGAAATTCGAAAACAATCGTTAGGTCCAAATCATGTCGCTGTTGCTCAGTCTTTAAACAATCTTGGTAATGTGTATTATAATACTGGAAACTACGACAAAGCTTTAAATTTTTACGAAAAAGCTCTAGAAATTCGAAAACAATCGTTAGATCCAAATCATGTTGATGTCGCTCAGTCTTTAAACAATCTTGGTGATGTGTTTTATGAAACTGTAAACTACGACAAAGCTATAGAGTTTCACGAAAAAGCTCTAGAAATTCGAAAACAATTGTTGGGTCCAAATCATGTTGATGTTGCTGTTTCTTTAAACAATCTTGGTTTGGTGTTTGAAAAAGCTGGAATTTACGACAAAGCTATAGAGGTTAACGAAAAAGCTCTAGAAATTCGAAAACAATCGTTAGGTCCATGTCATGTCGCTGTTGCTCAGTCTTTAAACAATCTTGGTTTGGTGTTTTATAAAATTGGAAACTACGACAAAGCTAAAGAGGTTCACGAAAAAGCCCAAGAAATTCGAAAACAATCATTAGGTCCAAGTCATGTTGATGTTGCTGTTTCTTTAAACAATCTTGGTTTGGTGTTTGAAAAAACTGGAAACTACGACAAAGCTATAGAGGTCCACGAGAAAGCTCTAGAAATTCTAAAACAATCGTTAGGTCCAAATCATGTCGCTGTTGCTCGGTCTTTAAACAATCTTGGTTTAATTTTTTATAAAATTAGAAACTACGACAAAGCTGAAAAGGTTCACGGAAGAGCTCTAGAAATTCAAAAACAATCGTTAGGTCCAAGTCATGTTGATGTTGCTGATTGTTTAATCAATCTTGGTAATGTGTATTATAATACTGGAAACTACGACAAAGCTATAAAGTTTTACAAAAAAGCTCTAGAAATTCGAAAACAATCGTTAGGTCCAAATCATGTTGATCTTACTGTTCCTTTAAACAATCTTGGTTTGGTGCATGAAAAAACAGGAAACTACGACAAAGCTATAGAGGTTTACGAAAAAAGTCTAGAAATTAGAAAACAATCGTTAGGTCCAAATCATGTTGATGTTGCTGATTCTTTTAACAAACTTGGTTTAGTGTTTTATAAAATTGGAAATAACGACAAAGCTAAAGAGGCTTACGGAAAAGTTCTAGAAATACGAAAACAATTGTTAGGTCCAAATCATTTTGATGTTGCTGATTCTTTAATCAATCTTGGTAATGTGTATTATAATACTGGAAACTACGACAAAGCTATAAATTTTTACCAGACAGCTCTTGAAATTCGAAAACAATCGTTAGGTCCAAAGCATGTTGATCTTGTTGTTTCTTTAAACAATCTTGCTTTGGTGCTTGAAAAAACTGGAAACTACGACAAAGCTAAAAATGTTCACGATAAAACTTTAGAAATTCGAAAACAATTGTTAGGTCCAAATCATGTTGATGTTGCTGATTCTTTAAATAATCTTGGTTTGGTGTTTGAAAAAACTGGAAACTACGACAAAGCTATAGAGGTTCACGAAAAAGCTCTAGAAATTCAAAAACAATCGTTAGGTCCAAATCATGTCGCTGTTGCTCAGTCTTTAAACAATCTTGGTTTGGTGTTTGAAAAAACTGGAAACTACGACAAAGCTATAGAGGTTCACGAAAAAGCTCTAGAAATTCGAAAACAATCGTTAGGTCCAAATCATGTCGCTGTTGCTCAGTCTTTAAACAATCTTGGTTTGGTGTTTTATAAAACTAGAAACTACGACAAAGCGAAAGAGGTTCACGAAAAAGCTCTAGAAATTCGAAAACAATCATTAGGTCCAAATCATGTTGATGTTGCTGTTTCATTAAACAATCTTAGTTTGGTGTTTGAAAACACTGGAAACTACGACAAAGCTATAGAGGTTCACGAAAAAGCTCTAGAAATTCGAAAACAATCGTTAGGTCCAAATCATGTCGCTGTTGCTCAGTCTTTAAACTATCTTGGTTTGGTGTTTTATAAAATTAGAAACTACTACAAAGCGAAAGAGGTTCACGAGAAAGCTCTAGAAATTCGAAAACATTCCTTATATCCAAATCATGTTGATGTCGCTCAGTCTTTAAACAATCTTGGTAATGTGTTTTATGAAACTGGAAACTACGACAAGGCTAAAGAGGCTCACGAAAAAGCTCTAGAAATTCAAAAACAATCGTTAGGTGCAAATCACATTGATCTTGCTGTATCTTTAAACAATCTTGGTTTGGTGCTGGAAAAAACTGGAAACTACGACAAAGCTATAGAGGTTCACGAAAAAGCTATAGAAATTCGAAAACAATCGTTAGGTCCAAATCAGGTTGATCTTGTTGTTTCTTTAAACAATCTTGGTTTGGTGCTTGAAAAAACTGGAAACTACGACAAAGCTAAAGAGGTTTACGAAAAAACTTTAGAAATTCGAAAACAATTGTTAGGTCCAAACCATGTTGATGTTGCTGATTCTTTAAACAATCTTGGTTTGGTGTTTGAAAAAACTGGAAACTACGACAAAGCTATAGAGGTTCACGAAAAAGCTCTAGAAATTCGAAAACAATCGTTAGGTCCAAATCACTTTGATGTTGCTCAGTCTTTAAACAATCTTGGTGATGTATTTTATGTAACTGAAAACTACGAAAAAGCTATAGAGGTTCACGAAAAAGCTCTAGAAATTCGAAAACAATCGTTAGGTCCAAATCATGTCGCTGTTGCTCAGACTTTAAACAATCTTGGTTTGGTGTTTTATGAAATTGGAAACTACGACAAAGCTGAAGAGTTTCACGGAAAAGCTCTTGAAATTCGAAAACAATCGTTAGGTCCAAATCACTTTGATGTTGCTCTGTCTTTAAACAATCTTGGTGATGTATTTTATGTAACTGAAAACTACGACAAAGCTATAGAGGTTCACGAAAAAGCTCTAGAAATTCGAAAACAATCGTTAGGTCCAAATCATGTTGATGTTGCTGATTCTTTAATCAATCTTGGTAATGTGTACTATAATACTGAAAGCTACGACAAAGCTAAAAAGTTTTACGAAAAAGCTCTAGAAATTCGAAAACAACCGTTAGGTCCAAATCATGTTGATCTTGCTGTTTCTTTAAACAATCTTGGTTTGGTGCTGAAAAAAACTGGAAACTACGACAAAGCTATAGAGGTTCACGAAAAAGCTCTAGAAATTCGAAAACAATCGTTAGGTCCAAATCATGTTGATGTCGCTCTGTCTTTAAACAATCTTGGTAATGTGCTTGAAAAAACTGGAAACTACGACAAAGCTGAAGAGGTTCACGAAAAAGCTCTAGAAATTCGAAAACAATCGTTAGGTCCAAATCATGTTGATGTTGCTGATTCTTTAATCAATCTTGGTAATGTGTATTATAATACTGAAAAGTACGACAAAGCTATAAAGTTTTACGAAAAAGCTCTAGAAATTCGAAAACAATCGTTAGGTCCAAATCATGTTGATGTTGCTGATTCTTTAATCAATCTTGGTAATGTGTATTATAATACTGAAAAGTACGACAAAGCTATAAAGTTTTACGAAAAAGCTCTAGAAATTCGAAAACAATCGTTAGGTCCAAGTCATGTTGATCTTGCTGTTTCTTTAAGCAATCTTGGATTGGTGCTTGAAAAAACTGGAAACTACGAGAGAGCTAAAGAGGTTCACGATAAAACTCTAGAAATTCGAAAACAATCGTTAGGTCCAAATCATGTTGATGTTGCTGATTCTTTATTCAATCTTGGTAATGTGTATTATAATACTGAAAAGTACGACAAAGCTATAAAGTTTTACGAAAAAGCTCTAGAAATTCGAAAACAATCGTTAGGTCCAAATCATTTTAATCTTGCTGTTTCTTTAAACAATCTTGGTTTGGTGCTTGAAAAAACTGGAAACTACGGCAAAGCTATAGAGGTTCACGAAAAAGCTCTAGAAATTAGAAAACAATCGTTAGGTCCAAATCATGTTGATGTTGCTGATTCTTTAATCAATCTTGGTAATGTAAATTTTATTACTGAAAACTACGACAAAGCTATAAAGTTTTACGAAAAGGCTCTAGAAATTCGAAAACAATTGTTAGGTCAAAATCATGTTGATGTTGCTGTTTCTTTAAACAATCTTGGTTTGGTCTTTGAAAAAACTGGAAAGTACGTCGAAGCTAAAGAGGTTCACGAAAAAGCTCTGGAAATTCGAGAACAATCGTTAGGTCCAAATCATGTTGATGTGGCTTCGTCTTTACACAATCTTGGTATGGTCTTTGAAAAAACTGGAAAGTACGACGAAGCTAAAGACGTTCACGAAAAAGCTCTAGAAATTAGAAAACAATCGTTAGGTCTAAATCATGTTGATGTTGCTGCGTCTTTAAACAATCTTGGTATGGTGTATTATGATACTGGAAAGTACGACAAAGCTATAGAGTTTCACGAAAAAGCTCTAGAAATTCGTAAACAATCGTTAGGTCCAAATGATATTGATGTCGCTGAATCTTTACACAATCTTGGTTTGGTCTTTGAAAAAACTGGAAAGTACGATGAAGCTAAAGACGTTCACGAAAAAGCTCTAGAAATTCGAAAACAATCGTTAGGTCTAAATCATGTTGATGTTGCTGCGTCTTTAAACAATCTTGGTATGGTGTATTATGATACTGGAAAGTACGACAAAGCTATAGAGTTTCACGAAAAAGCTCTAGAAATTCGTAAACAATCGTTAGGTCCAAATCATGTTGATGTCGCTGCATCTTTACACAATCTTGGTTTGGTCTTTGAAAAAATTGGAAAGTACGACGAAGCTAAAGACGTTCACGAAAAAGCTCTAGAAATTCGAAAACAATCGTTAGGTCTAAATCATGTTGATGTTGCTGCGTCTTTAAACAATCTTGGTATGGTGTATTATGATACTGAAAAGTACGACAAAGCTTTAGAGTTTTACGAAAAAGCTCTAGAAATTCGTAAACAATCGTTAGGTCCAAATCATGTTGATGTGGCTGCGTCTTTACACAATCTTGGTTTGGTCTTTAAAAAAACTGGAAAATACGACGAAGCTAAAGAGGTTCGCGAAAAAGCTCTGGAAATTCGAAACCTGAATGTGCTAGGTAAAGACCATAATCATCCCACTGCGTCTTACAGCAAGTTTCGTAGGATGAACGAAGAAATTGAAGAATATGAGTCTCAAAGAACTCAGAGTAAATTTACAGTTCCAAGTCATGCTCATGTTTCTCTGTCATCAAAATATTTTGGTAAGTTTGTAGGTATTATATACAGCATAATGTTGGTGGCTGATTTGAGTTAATGATTTTTTTAAAGTGCAACTTCGGCCCAATTTCACCCCATTGTTTTTTCGCCAATTAAAAAATATACATTCTTAAAAACATTTTGTGTAAGTTTGAGCATTTTTGGTTTGGTATAATTTGTTTAAATTTAACGCTAAATTTCGTCCCTGGCTGCGAAGTTTTACAAATGGATCGTGACGACATAAGATGTTCCCACCTTGCTAGTTTAAGTTTGTTATTTACAATAAGCAAATGCCAACATGGAGCATTAATATTTTTAAATTTTGTGATGAAAAACGCGTTTTATTCTGCAAATTTGGCCAAAGTATCAAAACGATAGCTATCAATACAAGTATTGGTTAAAGGGGAACTCCACCCTCACATAATGTTGGTCTTAAAAGTTCCATTTTTATGTAAAGGTTATTATATTTTGAAGTTTTTAGATCAGCTATTTTACTTTTGACAAAATCGCGTCTTTAAGTGCGCTGTTTGAGCTGTTTTGAGGCTCAGCAGCGTTGGCATAGAAAGCGTCAGCGGAAATTATTTTGACGCATTTTGACTCAGTTTTGCATGCATTCACAACCTCGGCAAGTAGTATATCAACGTACTGGTATTCTTTCTTTTCTTTCATTGCTTTTACAAGCCATTGCTTCTTTGTTTTAGCAAAAATCAATGTGTAACGCTCTTGCCCTTTGTTTGTCCCTGACTTAATGATGCTTTATCACGGTTTATATTGTTGTTGTGGTTTAATGCTGCTAACTGTGTGCGGGCTACCATTCCAGGAAATGAAAAATGCTCTCGCTTTGGGCAGTATTACAGTAAAAAGGAATGGTAAACCTCCAACTCTCCTGTGTGACAAAACTCAGACAGCTTCAGCAGGTCTTTTAGAAGCCTTTTGTCACAAATCACCTTCTCTGCAGCAATATATGCTTGTGAAGTAGGAGATAACCACTTCTTCTGCTTGTTTGTCTTTCTGTTAATTTTTGGTAGCAACATTGATGAAAATAGGTGTTCCCTCTCCAGAAATGCTTGTTGTTGGTTAAGGATGGACTTCCATTTTTCCACCAATTCTTCTGCATTCTTGTTACAACTTGCAGAGCACCACAAAGATGATTAGACATGGACTTAATCCAATGGGTCAAGTCATCATTTCCCTTAATATTAGCCTTCTTTGTTAGTTTTTTGTGACAGATTTAGACAAATGCCACACACCATATTGGTGATCAGTATGAGGGTGTTTGTTTTTCATAGCACTGGCAATGTTTGTCCCTAATGTGACTTAAAAAAGGGAAATTATGTATAAATAATTAGGAAACTATAATTTCATACTTTACGTCAAGGAAAGTACACCTAAATTCTTTGCACGAAATGCTAATTTTCCAACGGTTTTATGTAGGATTATTCATTGGCGTAGCTAGGAAAAATAGTCACTCCCGCCAATCAATCTCGCGCCGAAGGCGCGACCCCACCAGGGGGGTCCGGGGGCATGCTCCCCCGTAAAATTTTGAAAAACAGAGCCTTGGAAACAGCATTTCCTGCGATTTTGAGGGCGAATTATTTGTTGTACAATAATTTATAAAAACCCATTTTTGTTAGCTGCATTCTTAATGTGGCAATCGTTGAAACTGCAACTAGTTAAAAGGAGACAATTGTCCCCTAAAACATAATTTACTCATCACTGCCCCTGCATATACAGAATAAATTTGTATTAGCACAAAAAATAATATAGTATACGACACTTCTAAAGTGCATAGAGAGAGATTTTTCTTAGCACTCTACTTGTTAGTTTAAACTTGTTTAGATTGGGGCAAGTAGACAGGGATGGCTTTATTCTTTAAAGTTATGCTTAATTTTCTCAATGAAGTACCATGTATTATACGAACAAATATCAAAACACATACTATACTCATCATTTATAAAGAAAGGCCAGCCTCCTGGGTTTTTCTACAAATTTTTCAACCACCTTGTTATGCAACACCTCTGATTCCTCTTTCTTTTCAATGATATCTTTGTGAATAGATATTCTACACAAAGAGCTAAGCCGACCTTGACCCATTCTATTTCTTAAATAGCTTTTACCCTTTTAAGCAAGAAAACGACCTCTCTACTGAAGCACTTGACACTGCCAACACACCATTCAATTTTAACAAATTTACCGCTTGACCTAAACTCGACTGGAGATTAAATTTGAAGATGTATTTAAGAACCTCATTACTGCACTCTTTGTGAAAGTCCTTGTCGTTGTAAATGAAGGAAAGTTGACTCTCCAAAGTTTGGATGTCAAAAGAGGACTATACTTATCTTTGAGAAGATTGATCTTCTCCTGTGGAACTATGCCCTTCCATGTAGTAAATAGTTTAGGATTTACAAGGTCTAAAAACTCGAACTGATTAATATCTTGAAATCGTTCACTTAACATGCCTTTAATGGAATCAATAATCTCAAAATAAAGCTGTTTGTAATTGTATCTACTATCTGCTCTGGTTGCTGGTGGGCCTACTTTTTCTAGTGCAGTTTGGTAAAACTCGGTGAAAGCTTGATCTGTGCGAAGTGACACAATAAACTGCTTGAAATTGTCAATCTTGCTTATGCCATAGTTAAAATGGGTTTCCATATTTTGAAGAATGGAATACAAAATTGTGGACTGTTCTAAAATCCTGTAAAAAACACACACTAGAAAACAAAAGAGAAAGCTATCAAGATGAAAGCTATCCCACCCAGCTGGTTGTTCAAGTACCCCCTCAAAAATATCTAAAAGTTTTTCATAGTTTTTGCGCAATAGATTGATTAATCTAGAGCGATAATACCATCTTGTTTCACCAGGGGCAGGAAACTCAAGGTTGTTAGATGTGAGAAAAGCTTTTCTTTTTGGGGCATTGCTTGTAAATGTGCTGAATGTAGCTATATTAATAAAAAAGATTTTAACAGGAGAAATTGATGAGGCCGACTGGCATAGGACCAGGTTCAATCTATGAGCTGCACAATGAACAAAATGAGCAAAAGGATACTCTTGTCGAACCAATGCTTGAACACCATTGATATGGCCAGACATGGCAGAAGCATCATCATATGTTTGTAAAACCAGTTTTTCTTTTATATTAGAATACTCACCAAGTTTATCTTTGACAACTTGTAATATTGCTGTAGCATTTCTGTTCATACTTACATCCACAAATCCTAATTGCCTCTCCATAATTTCACTTGCTTTGTCAAACCGAGCAATAACACTTAGCTGCTCTTTGGTGGAGACATCAGATGTTTCATCAACCAGAATACTCATAAATGTGCAATCATTTATTTCCTTTCTGATTTCATCTTCAATAATTGAATCAAGACAGCTAATAAGACCATTTTGAATTTCTGGGGAGACTCCAGTAAATCTTCTGTCACCAACTATATCAGATTCTGCTAGTCTACTGTGCAGTCGACGCTCAAATACAGAATCAAACTTAGCAAAACATTCGAGCAACTTTCTATAATTACCTTTGTTCAAGCTACCTTCGGACTCATTGTGACCTCTAAATGGCAACTCTTGCTTTGACAAATACAGCACGGCCTCAGTAACAGTTTTTAAAATTTCTCGATTTTGTCTTACCTCCTCATTGTGACGCTGAATCTCATTTCTTCTAGCGAGGGACATAAGACAATCAATTCGTTCACTAGCTCCATACGTTTTCCATGTCTTAAATGCAGTCAAATGCGATTTAGATTTTCATGCTTCTTAGCATCAGACATAATACTCCGCATATCGTTGTAGCCATTCTTAGTCCACGATGGCGATGTTTTGGGAAAACATTAGACATGGCCAACAAAACACTTTCTGCAAGGTTGTACTGCCACACAGCCAGTCCTTCGCCTCATACCAATCTCTCTGAAATGCTCTTCCCTTATTTTGGATAGTTAAATCAGGAGTAGGCCGTTCATGAACGATAACATTCTGTTCGACCGACGATCGAGCAGAGAACGGTTTAGCTAATAAGCTATTTACTAAATCAACATCAGTTGAGCAAATCGCAGTCGCACTTGAAGCCATTGTGTCATACACAAATACAAAATAGCGATTTGAGAGTAAACACAATGGAAAATTAATACCGACAATGACACGTAATTTGATAATCACTAATCGCTGTACTCGTATTAAAAGGTCGAATAATTACAACCTCCGCCAATTTAAAATAGCGGGAGTTCGACTATAAAAACAGCAAATTTGAGCATGCGTCAAGTCCCTTAGCAAACCAGAATTCAAAACTTCTTATATAGAATTATATTGTATGTTCCGCCCTCTGAAGATGGGCGGAATACGTGGAGAATCGCGCGAGTATGCAATGTGCGAGAAAAGGCGGTTGCTAGGTTACATAACAAATCTTGAGATTTTGCTGTATTACGATTACGAACCACCTAATAAAAGCGTAAATATGAACGAATAAAACATAATATTACAAATTGTTCGTCAAATAATGTATATCTTATGTCCAAATAGAATATTTATTATTTTTGGGGGAAATTTCTACTCCCGCCGGGCGGGAGTAGCGGGACCGCTAGCTACGCCACTGGGATTATTTTCTAACCATAATGAATCTAAACTACACAACCATGTTTTTTTATTATTATTATTCAATGTTATTGATGGAAATAGACTGGTTTCACATTAGTAGAAACTGTTGTTAAGGTTGAATTCGGAGGACAAGCAAACGAAGCAAACGGCATTACAGCACAGTTTCCACACAAATAAACCTTCTTATTTTTTAAGAAATGATATTAATCGATATTTAAATTCTATATGTAGTGCGGAAACTGTGTGACAATGGCCTTTATGGATGTGAAACCGTTCTATTAAAACAGAATACAAATAACCAGCTCAATACTTTCTTGTAAGCTATAAAAGTTGCTTGTGTATATACCTATAAATAAAAATTCTGAAGTTTCGAAAAGAAACATTTTGTGGTTTGGAGAAGCATTTTGACGCAAGTTTGTTATGACTGTGCAATGACTTTACATAGAGCTTTGAGCATCAATTGACGATATGACGTCAAATACAAGCCGCTGACATATGTCTGCTCCCACGCACCGGATGCCCTAGCTGCAGCATTTCAACTCATTATTGTGAAAATATTGAATCAAACAAACAAATAATTGCCGCATATTTATTTTCACGGGACAGACAAAGTTTTAAGACCAACATTGTGTGAGGGTGGAGTTCCCCTTTAATAAATCTTTGGAGGACGCAATTTTGTAATAAAGTTCATCAACGAAGTTTGTTAACGCTGATAGCCATAATGAATATAAATACTAATCAAATGTATTTTGCCTTTCTTGTACTAAATGTTGGACATTTCTATTAATAAAATAAGCTTGAAAATGTGTAACTCTTGACGATGAAGCTTTCTGCGTTGAAGTCTCGACCACAGGTGTTGGTGTAACTTGTAATTGTCACAGAGTTGCTGAGAATATCGTAACTATTAACCATATTCTATATACAGACATTACTGAACTGAAAATATACTGGGAAAATATACTTGGACAAAGTCTTGCATTCGTCAAATCAATAGGTACATCAATGGCTTAGGCATTAATATTATGTCAAATTTAATTCATGTTTTTTGGGTCTAACTCCAACTATTTGAGATCCGTAGCTTATTGATGGCTTTTAATATGTTTCAGTCGGCTAAGAATACATACAAATTTCATAGTATAATACAAAAAAATTTGGCCATAATGAATTGAAAGTCCTAGATTTAAGTGGTTCATTGACATACAAATTGTTTTGTGTGAGGACTGGGTTATTCATTTTGGTTGTAGACAAACAAAAGAGCCAAAGCATTGATTAAAACGCAGTTTGGATTCATACTTACATTAATAAACAAAAAGAATAAATCAAAAATCTACCTATAAACTAAAAACATATACATAAAACTCGCTCTAAAGAACAGTGAGATGGAAACAAAACATTTTAATCAAACAAACATTGCTCAAGATATATAACAGCTATAAACTCATTGTTAGTTGTAAGATTCAAATACAACATTGAACCATTTAGAGATAATAATATTCCATATACCTGGTGTCTATTTCAAAGTGACTCATAGAATTAAAGCATACATTTAAATATCGTCTTATAATATATACGTATCAAAAATTAAACACACTTTTAGTCTTTGACGTCTTAGAAAAATTTTTATTTCACCAAACCCAGCTCTGTGAAAATTATGTTATCAAAAAATCATAGACTGAAAAATTGACAAACATTGGAAACAAATCAGGATGATTTTAAGACAGACATATTTCAGCATGCTTACGCCATTTTCAGTGTATTAATTTTTACAGCAAGAAAATATTATGTCATTTATACATGTCACAGATATTATATTACAGGAGTGAAAGTAAATATTTTATTTCAAGTTAAAATTAGACCTATAATGTATTTGTTTGCTAAGATCTAATTTTATCAAGTTGCTTAATATAAAGCATAAATAAATGATTTTAGCAATAAAGATAGCAAAAGCTTGACAAAACATGTGTCTACATTTTATCAAATCATGGTTGTATGAAATGTTTAGCAGCTATTTTGCTACTAAGAATTTATTGAAACTACATTGACATAGCGTGACTGACATTGATACCAAACATTATCATAGAAATTAATAAATATACACACACATAATACACACAATAAATAATTTACAAACATGTATAGAAATTAAAGTCATTATGTTTCCTGCAGGATGTTTACCTAACTAAAAAAGGTGTTTACTAATTCAAAAATATTATAGCGATCACTGCTTTCCTTGTTTATTCCTCACGCTCATCTATTTTCTAGGAATACAGTTCAATTTCATTTCATAACTGACAAAAACTTGCGACGACGAGTTGATTGTTTAATGAAAGTATAGCGCTGAGGTAGGAGTAAACAAGCCACATATCGCGATAAAATTTCTGTTTGACCGATCTCTCGTAATTGCCTCGATTCCGTAGGGAAAAGCAGCCTTCGCAACAAATTGAGTAATTCGGCAAGGATTCCATATACATTAAGGGAAAGAATCGTCAACGAGAAATGAATTCGAACTTCGAAGTAGCTATTAATTAAGCAACCATTCATTTGTTCTGTTTAAGAACGAAATTCGTCCATTTTCCAGGCTTTTGGATGCTTGCATATTCTTTAGGAAACTTTCGAATATATATATATACTGTTTATGACGATAATGTATGATTAAAATAATTCCAAACTTTTCTTTTAAATCCATCAGTAATTAAACAACAACGCTAAAAAATGTGTTAATGTCTGTGTCTGCTTACAACTTTCGTTCTTTGACAGGTTGCATAAAGTTGCATAAAATTGTAATAGTTTCCTTGTCCTCAAAGCAGACATTCAACAGCAACAGACTTTAGCAACTTTATTATAAAATTACTAAAATACTCGAAAGAGATTGGCGACAAGAGTTCGTTATCACTTCTCAATGTCTGAACTTATTACAACGCCCTTAATAACCGAGTGTAAGGTCTTTACGGAGAAAAATTGGACTGAATTTATTTGTACTGACCGAGACCCTTAAGGAGAGGTTTGTGATAAAAACAGAGCAGGCGAGATTAATAAAAAGTTAATTAGCTATATGGTATTATTTGACTTGAAACAAAGCTTTCTTTTCTTTTTCCATTCTTGCTGTTTTGCAAGGACTGGCTTTCACTCTTCTAGTTTTTGCCAGCAGAAAATATATAGTTTGAAACTGTGTCGCCTAGATAATAAAACCCACTTTTCGAGTGTTCTTTTTTGACTTACATTCATACCATGGTTTTTCGTTTTACAAAACATTTGCTGTTTGCTTTATGAAGTTTTAGTAAAACACAAGACAATGGACATTCCGTATATAGTAAGCATTATGCAATCTAGATAAATAATGTTTACTATATACAGAGTGTCTATTGTCTTGTGTTTTACCAAAATACTCTTTGGCAGTCGTAATTCATGAAGTTTGTTTATCTACCTTTATTTGTAAAATTACGCCTGATAAAAGCTGGTTCATTACGTGAAAATATTTACTGCCGCCTCAATATTTCCAATTGTAAGGTCATTTTATTACTTGAAAATGTCAGTCATGTAAGACAGTGCGTAATATATGTATATAAGATTTTGGAGATAATGGGAAAAACAAAATGAAATATATAGTTTTAAAAGCTACTATCCTAAACTTTTCAATTTATTTGTTTTATAACTTTTATTTCTTTTTGAGCGCTAGCTGTTAATTCAATTTTTTTACTCGTTGTCAAAATGGAAATACACAGCTTGTGTTGATAACGCTTTTTAAAATATTGTTCGTAGAAATCACAAGTGGTGATGATGCTAATGCTAAAGATGTCGGAAATTCTCCTGGTGTTGAAAATACAAAACAAGGTATGCTTTTCAATTCTATTTTATATATATTGCAAAACTTAAGCATATTTGTTTTGTATTGTATCAAAATTTAAGTCATTTGATTGGTATTTTTGTGTTTTTATGAAGATTTATAATATTTAATAATATGCATGATGTACGTATACAGTGTTGCACTTTCGGACTCCAAACGTTCGTTTAATACGTTTGTTCAATACTGTATTAATGACTTAAATTTTCCTTTTGTGAACGACAAATAATTTTAATGTACTTTGTACCAGACGGCAGTGCTCAGCACAACTTGACAAGTCTTTGTTTATCACAATAAATACTGCGTAGCAGCAAAGTGGGGCAACTCTTTATAAAGTGCTCAAATTGATTACATTTCATAAGTTCCATTAAAGAAAAAGGATTATAATAAATATGCTAAAACCTTTTAAAACAAATCTTGACATAATGTACACCATACAGATCAGACCTTGTATTTTAGAAGTGTTCAGGTTAGACCATCTGCTTTAAAAGGGGTCGTGTTTGATTACATTAATTACTATTTTCTTTGTTAGAGTACAGGAGATTAGTCGGAGTATAACTTTTTCCAGATAGAAATTAATTTTTTTTTCCTTCTGGCTTACAGCATCGAAAGTATTGAAACAATTAAAAAAACATCACCAAGTCCAAGTTCTAATAAAAATTTACTTCAAATACAGTCTTATAATCTTTACATTAACAAATGTTATGAGATATATGAGTTTTTTTCATCACATGCCTAAGCAACACTGACTGGTAACATTTTGCGGCTGGTTTAATCTGTTTTAACTATTTTGCCACACTAAAAAAATTTTACTCGAAGCACATTATCAGTCAATTGAAATTAAGATGAGACATGAGGTGATAATGACATCATGCAATCTATTTTTTTAAAGTAACGTTTATTTGTATTCTGCTTGTTTAATCATAAAAAATTCTCAACAAACTATCTTTTGGATGTACTGTCATACTTCACTTTTGCACCACCATGCATACATTACCTAGCTAATAACAATAAATATTATGCAAAGAACGGCCACCATCAAATGGACTTGCTCCACATACTTTAATAAATAGGAATTTCTGTTCATTGTAATAAAAATACCTCAAAATCATATGGAAAATGAGCAAATTTGACGATGTGAATTCTCAATGTTCCACAATAGAAAGAAGGCTATTTACAATTTTCGTTATGGATAATGTAGCATTAAATTGCAAACTTTTAAAACGATCTTCTAAATTCTAAATTTACAGAAAATTACAATTTATTTTGAGCTCTCTCTTTGCTAAGTATACTGGAGATCACCTCTTCAGTGTGAACATCATTCAAAAGTCCACAAAGATCATTTTCTAACTTAGCATTAAATTTTGAATACTTTTTACTCAGAGTTGCATTTTGAAAGTTGCATAGAGCATAAAAGTTGCTGTATCAGTTTTTTCAACTAGAAAATTTCCGAAAATAGATAAGCAAATAACGTTACTAATCGCAAAACGTAAAAACAACGACTTTATTCATTGATTTCAATAAATTACTCCCACTGATCTAAAAATAAATAAATATAATTATTTGCACAGTATTATATGGCGTTTCGTTCCGGTCATAATTACATGAAGTTGATCAAACGAAAAACAATCCCTCATAAATACGTCGAACTTTCAAAGTTGAAGTTCAAACGTTAAAAACTAAAACAAAATGCCCAATGTCAATAGCAAACATCGATGCATACAGTCGAACCGCTCAAAAATAAATCGAAGTGCAAAAATATAAGTCGAAGGGAAACGGAAGTCATGTACTGCAGTAGGAAGCGGAAGTCTTCTTGGACGAACAACTAATATAATTTTTCCCGAAGTAAACAAAATGGCTGTTAGAAACCAAATAAGCGCTATTGAGCTAGAGGAATTCTTTCGTTCATTACAAGAGCTTTTGATTTCTTCATTCAACGATGTGTCTTTTGACTCAGCTGAGTATATTTCTCGCCGTCTCGATGGATATGAAAGAAATCTAAGTGTATTATTGGCAAGACTGCAAGAATCGTTTCCTAATGAAGCACAATTGCTAACAGATATGAGAGATCTTCTTGGTATCGTTCGTACCCAGAAAGAAAGGTCTGAGGTATTATCATTTCGCTCATTAATGGCAGAGGAACAGCAAACTAATGACCAAATAAGTGTAAACCAGATTAGGAGTTGCGTTGGTCGACCCAGACTTCACATTTCTGAAGAATTGCTGGGGACACTACACTCTCAGGTTGGATTTTCGTGGTCGCAGATTGCAAGAGATCTTGGCATTTCTGAAAGTACCATACGTCGCAGAAGACGTTTGTTTCAAATGCCAAGTCAACAGGTATTTTCTAACATAGAAAATAGCGTTCTTGATCGACTTGTCCGTGAAATCTTGGATGTGACGCCTAGAATTGGTTATAGATTAATACAGGGTGCGTTACGACAACGTGGACTGCATGTCCAACGACGACGAGTTCTTGAATCGTTGCACCGGGTTGACCCAGTTGTGGTAACCCTTAGAGGATCAAGAAGCATCATACAAAGACGCTATTCCGTTCCTTGTCCAAATGCCTTATGGTATGTGAAATATTCATTAAGGGAAAACTGGTGGTAAAATAAAACTCTATCTTTCTTTTGTAGTCATTGAAAATCATGTTAGTTTATTGGCACATGTCAAAAGGGTTAAAAAATTTTTGTAGGCATTTGGATGGGAATCACAAACTTATTCAACCGTATCGTATTGTAATTCATGGTGGCATAGATGGGTATTCTAGAATGATTGTCTTCTTAAGAGCATCAACAAACAACCAAGCATCTACTGTAATGGAATGCTTTAGGGATGCTGTTAATCAGTACAACTTACCTTCACGTGTGCGTACTGATTTAGGGTTAGAGAATATTGAAGTTGCTCGATTTATGTTTCAATATCGTGGTCTGAATAGAGGCAGCTGCATAACAGGTACATCTGTTCACAACCAGCGTATTGAACGACTTTGGCGTGAAGTTAACTCAATTGTGTGTAGTCGTTTTATCAATATTTTTGCATACCTTGAAACTCTAATTCTAGACACTAATAATGAAATTCATTTGATTGCATTACATTTGGTGTACATCCCACTCATTAACAATGCACTGCAGAAATTAAGTGAATCGTGGAATTGCCATTGTTTGAGCACCGAGGGAAATCTTAGCCCAAGGCAGCTTTGGGTACAAGGAATTGTTGCTAATCAAAATAGTGATTTTAGTGCTGTGACTAGCATTCGAGATGGGTTACAAATAGATTGGAATGAGTATGGAGTTGAAGAAGATGGCCCAGTTTCAGAATTGCAGTCAAATTATCGTGTTAGAGTGCCATCTTCAACAGTATGTTTAACAGAAAATCATGTTGAACACCTAAATAATATTGCTCAGAGACTAAGGGGGGGGCAGGAGACCAAGATGGACTGATAGCTTTTTTTAGTTGTATTGGACAACATTCAGCAACATAGTTAGATATATTTACTACTAAAATGACTGAGCTGATCATATCCAATACAAAACTTTGTTAAGAAGCATTTAAAATGCAATAGATATAGTAACTTTTAAGTTCAGCACTAATAGTGTAAAAGTCAACATACAAACAGTTTCAAATCTAACAAAACTTAGTTCTGTTTTATATACCCTCTATACAATTCCAAAACCTTCTTCTTGGAAATTCAAGGCTGAGTCCATATTTCTTTCAAACTCTTCATAGTTTTTTACCTCACCAGGTAATTCCAATTCCAATGGACATGTGTTAGCATTGGGGTAAATGAATGTATTTTGAAGAATAGTTATACTCGATGGATGAAAACCCATTGGAGGTAAGGATTTGCAACCAGTTGAAAACATCAAAACACTAGGAATTCCAGAACCTGTAATAATTAAAGTATATTAACATCATGATTTAAAGAATGTTGCCAAAACAACAACATGTACAAATTCTAAAAAATATAACATACTTTGTGATGAAAGATACCGAGTGAAAAACTGTTTGATGCGAATCTCAACATTATCAAACTGAACAACAGATAAAAAATCATGGAGTGTCAAAGGTGGGCAAGTACCAGCCACAAATAAACTTTCCATCTTGTCTGGATGTCTTCTGATTGCGTCAAGAAGTGGGCATAAGCCGATCATCAATTGATCAATTTCAGCCTTCCTGGATAAGATGACTCCATGCAGACACAAGGACATAATAGCTTGAAAACGATTATCAATATTGACGGGATGAGGAAAACCTGACTCAACTAACAAAGGTTGAATTTCAGAAGCTAAGGTTTCGTTGTTTTCTTCATCAAAAGCATCTAGCTTTTAAAAGTATAAGCCAAAGTTAATTTTCATAGTTGTAAGAGCACAAAAAAAAATTGATTACTTTTCTAATCACCTTTTTCAAGACATCTACATATTCAGCATCAACAACATCCTCTGGACGGAGGTGATCCACCACGTCATTAGGCTGAGGGTTGAGGAAATATGCATACAAAACCTTTGGAAAATATGGAAAACCAGGAACACCATGAACTATTGATGCTGCAATAATCCGTCCAGCCACCTTATACAGATTTGATCTAAGAGCATCTGTATTGTGCATTGGTAAAAAAATTCCATCTCTTCCTTCAAAAAGACGAGGAGTAGCTGATGGAGAAAGGAGTTCACGCAACAGTAAAGTGAAGAACTCTCGTTTAGGGCCACCACCATCAATTGCTGATTCGTCTTCAAATGTGACCTTCAATGGTTTCTTAAAATCAAAATGTCTGTGTTTGAAAAATGACACACTATCAGCAAAAATTGATGATCTGCTGACTGTCAAGCGTGTAGGAGTCCCAGGGATGGGTTGTAGAGAGTATAATAGGTCTTTTAAACATGCATCCTCCTCAATTTTAGAGCCATCAAATTGTTGTTCATCTGAAAAAAATGTGAAAATTTACATTACTTTATCCAAATTTGTTGACTATGTAAACTTTCTTAACTACCTGGAAATAATTACCTGACTTGGAAGGTATATGACTTATAACATAGTCCACAGCCAGATCAAGTGTTGTACAATTTACAGCTTGTGCAAACACTTCAGCAGGACAATTTGGGAACATTTCATCTAGTTTCTGCTTTTCAATGCTACAGAGATTTAAAGAACTTCTTATGCCATCGGAAGTTTCACCTGTCTCACAAGCAATTGGGAGCGATGGAGTGGTAGTTGGAATAACAGTAACATATTGCTCACTGCTTTGCCTTTGGTTGGACTCCAAATTGCGTGATACATACGATCTTATATCACTACTTCTGACAAAATTATCCACATTATCACTCAATTCAACAATGTCATCATCCTGAATAAAACTCATTATAGTAAATGCATGATTTTGTAATCGCTAGAGCTTAACTGAACTAGCAATTAATCTACAATCATAATGTGGACAGTGTGTAATCTTAAGGCATATAATGAAGAGTTACAGTACCTCATCACTGTCGATCTTTACTAGAGAGCGGATATAAATTGGTCCAGTCCCACTAATGTGTCGTATTATTTTGGCATTTGCTTCTTGCCCTTGTGGCAGTTTTAATTGGGCGATGCCATTTCCGACAGACTTTACAAACTCAAAGCTTGGAAAAAATTAATTGTATTTAAGTAATTTAACCCATTCAATTCCACTGCAAGATACAAAATTGAATACTACATACTTCAATAGCTTACGTGTTTGGTCCTGTAATATGCTTCTTGAAAATACTGTGTAATTCCGCTCGTAATTGATCTTCTGACCACGATTTATCACGACTCCATGCGTCAACAAATAAACTTCTTTTCACGAGGTCTTCCTTTACTTGTCGCCGAGGGACTTGATCCCAAGCTGGATTAGGTAGTAGACACACGTCTTTTATAACCAACTCTGCAGCAGGTTTGGCTTTGTATTTCCCTTTTTGTTTTGTAGTGTAAGGGATAAACCGACCTCTTTCACTTCTTCTGGAACTATGAATCCTATTAGCAATTCCCGGCGACACACGAGGAATTTGGAATCTTTGGCCGATTTCTTCTTCAACTGAGCCAAAGGACCTGCTACTAGTACTATCATCGCTTATGCTTGGGGTATTGCTGGAAGCAGTGTCCGGTAAATTTTGAAGACAGGACACAACACGCCTAACTATTTCATTTAAGTTGTCCGCCATTTTTGATATGAGTGATAGTTATATCTTATTAAGTAGGTTTTGAATGGTTTTGTATGACCATAGACCATATCCGCTAATATCTCAGTGACTTCCGTTTCCCTTCGACTTATATTTTTGCACTTCGATTTATTTTTGAGCGGTTCGACTGTATGCATCGATGTTTGCTATTGACATTGGGCATTTTGTTTTAGCTTTTAACGTTTGAACTTCAACTTTGAAAGTTCGACATATTTATGAGCGATTGTTTTTCGTTTGATCAACTTCATATAATTATGACCGGAACGGAACGCCATAGTATTAGAAGAGCAAGTGACTCAAAAGATCTCATTTATGATTCAAACTGATTGTCAAATGGCTTGATGACCTCTATTAAAAAGTTCACGTGAATCAGACCAAGCCACTTACGACTTAAGCACACCGATTTAGTAAGAATGGCGCTACTTCTGAAATATCGCTTACAGAACTCAATGGCTGTATCATGTTTTCTTAGATAATGTAGTACGGACCACTGTATAGAAGGCCGCAACCATAACGTTTAGTGGGGAGCGGTGTTTAATAACGCTGCTGCTAAAATATCGCTTACAGAACTCAATGGCTCTATCATGTTTTCTCAGATATTGCAGCACGGACCACTGTATAGAGGGCCGCAGCTATAACTTTTAGTGGGGTGGGGAAGGCGGTGTTTAAGAACGCAGCTGTTAAAATATCACTTAAAGAACGTAGTGGCTGTATCATGTTTTCTCAGATATTGTAGCACGGACCACTCTATAGAGGGTCAAAACTATAAATTTTAGTGAGGTGAGGGAGGGGGTGTTTAATAATGCTGCTGCTGGAATATCGCTTTCAGAACTCGATGGCTGTATCACTTTTCCTCAAATATTTAATCTAGATAAATAATGTTTGCTATATACGGAGTGTCTATTGTCTTGTGTTTTACCAAAATAGTCTTTGGCAGTCGTAATTCACGAAGTTTGCTTATCTACATTTGTTTTTAAAATTACGCCTGATGAAAACTTGTTCATTGCGTGGAAATATATACTGCCCCTTTAATATTTCCAATTGTAAGGTCATTTTATTACTTGAAAATGTCAGCCGTGTAAAACAGTGTGTAATATATGTATATGAGATTTTGGAGCTAATGGGTAAAACGAAACGAAATATATAGTTGTAAAAAGCTACTATCCAAAACTTTGCAATTTATTTGTGTTATTTCTTTTTGAGCGCTAGCTGTAAATTCATTTATTACTTGTTGTCAAAATAGACATACACAGGTTGTGTGAATAACGCTTTTTAAAATATTGTTCGTAGAAATCACAAGTGGTGATGATGCTAATGCTAAAGATGTCGGAAGTTCTCCTGGTGTTGAAAATACAAAACAAGGTATGCCTTTCAATTCTAATTTTTTTGAATATATTGTGTAACCTAAGCATATTGATTTGAATTGTATCAAAATTCAAGTCATTTGATTGGTATTTATGCGTTTTTATGAAGATTTATATAATTTAATAATATGTATGACATACGTATACAGTGTTGCACTTTCGGACTCCAAACGTTCATTTATTACGTAAGTTCAATACTGTATCAATGGGTTAAATTTTCCTTTTGCGAACGACAAATAATTTAAATGTACTTTTTACCCGACGGCAGTGCTCAGCACAACTTGACAAGTCTTTGTTTATCTCAATAAATACTGCGTAGCAGGAAAGCGACGTAAATCTTTTTATAAAGTGCTCAAAATGACTACACTTCATAAGTTCCATTCAAGAAAAAGGATTATATGGTTGATTACAAATACATTCCTCAATCAACCTTTTACACTAACAAATGTTATAAGATATATGAATTTTTTCATCACATGTCTAAGCAACACTGAATGGTAACATTTGCAGCTGGTTTAATCTGTTTTAACCATGACAGTAAAATCTTGTCTCTTCACAATTTGTACTTTTCGCACTTTTTCAGTCATTTGAAATTAAGATGAGACTTGAGGTGATAATGACTTCATGCAATCTATTTTTTCAAAGTGACGTTTTTTTGTATTCTGCTTGTTTGATCATAAAAACCTCTCAACAAACTATCATCTGGATATACTGTCATACTTCACGTTTGCACCACCATGCATGCATACACTACCTAGCTAATGACATTAAAACTTATGCAAAGAACGACCACCATCAAATCGACTTGCTCAATATACTTCAATAAATAAGAATTCCTGTTCATTGTAATAAAAATATCTCCAAATCATATAGAAAATGAGCCAATTTGACGATGTGAAATCTTAAAGTTCCACAATAAAAAGAAGGCGATTTACAATTGTCAATATGACAAATGTAGCATTAAATTGCACATTTACTAAACGATCTTCTAAATTCGAAATTTACAGAAAATTACAAGTTTTTTTGACCTCTCTCCTTGCTAAGTATACTGGAGATAACCTCTTCAGTGTGTACATCATTCAAAAGTCCACAATGATCATTTTCTAACTTAGAATTAAATTTTGAATGCTTTTTACTAAGAATTGCATTTTGAAAGTTACATAGAGCGTAAAAGTTGCTGTATCAGTTTTTTCTACTTGAAAATTTGCCAAAATTGATAAGCAAATAACGTTACTAATCGCAAAATATAAAAACAACGACTTCATTCATTGATTTCCATAAATTACTCCCATTGATTTCAAAATAAATAAATATGATTATTTGGATTATATTAGAATAGGAAGTTCATCCAAAAATCTCATTTATGATTCAAACTGTGTCTTAATTGATGATTGTTAAATGGTTTAATCACCTTCATTAAAAACTGCTCGTGAATCGGACCAAGCTACTTACGACATAAGCCACCCGATTAATTAAGAATAATGCTGCTGATGAAATATCACTTACAGAACTCAATGGCTGTATCATGTTTTCTCAGATATTGTGGAATGGACAACAGTATAGAGGGCCGAAATTATAACGTTTAACGGGGAGGGAGCTATTCATATCTTCAGTTGTGGTCGAATAATATCTTGTGAATGCCAAATTCTTGTGAAAGTTAAATCAACTGAAATATATGGCAAGAATTTGAATGGCTTACTTTATCGTGGTGTTAAAAAAAACTATTGAAATGGCATGATTCCATTTCTCCTTCGGTAAATATTTAACTAAAACGGAATTTTCCTTGATAACTCTGACACATGACAGACAAATTGCTTCTTACAAATAAATCATCATATGTTGGATAATGTAGTGAATTACTGCAAATAACCATATTCAGTTTCGCAAGGGGAAAATGATACCAGCAATGCTGCACGATAATGAGAAAAAACACGAGGTAGAGATTTAGTTAACAGGGATAAAGATAACAAGCGTCACTTTACTAAGGTGCATAAGAGGAACAGTACGCATCAGTTATCAAAACAACGTTTGACAAAATAAAATTTAGGGATTTGATTGCATTTCAACACTAAATGTTTGGCAGAAAACATAAGAAAGTTCATCCGGTATGAGAGTGTTTAAATGATCCTGACTTCACTAATTGGAATTCAGCGAGGCGTTAAATGATTTTGGCAAATGGAAACAAGTCGGTACTTACCATGAGATAAATCTTCTTGAGGAATTTCACAATATTTTGATTTAATAAAAGAGCAAAATTTTAAATTTGAAACAACCAGTTTGGCCTAATTTTAGAATTTCAATAGGAATGACTTGTGGCCATTCCCAAACAGTTGTAATTTTTATGCTTGAAGTTTTTCCCCTTTCAATGCCTCGAAATCATTTTATGTCTGTTAAACGCCACAAGTCGTTCTCGTTAACATTTTCCAATTAGGCCAATTTGGTTGTTTTCATTTTAAATTTTTGCGTGATTATTAAATTAGTTAAATGAGAATGTTATGAAAATGCTCTAGAAGATTTATCTAAAGTAAATGGTTTGAACCCGGGAGTATCGTTACATGTTTGTAAATGTCGATCGTCCAGGTTGGTATAGTCCTGAGAAAGACTGTTTTTGTTAATACACATTTAATATAAGCGACAACGTTTTTGAAAATAGACATGTTTCGACATCTCATGATGCCATCTTCAGTATGGGTGAAATAATAGGTGATACAGGGTTTTTATAAAAGTAATATGAAACATAAATTACAACAATAAAAAGGAGATAAGATAAATTAATGAGGAGCGTCCGAGCGTATTATAAACTAAATATTGTATTGAATTTAAAAACTTGAACATTGAGGTCAGGGTTAGTTTTGTTGATGTGGAGTGCTTCTTTGATTTTAAGGAAAAATGAGGTGTCGGCAGTGTCGATGATTTTGAAACAAGAGGGTGAATAGTTGGTTTAGCATGAGTGAGATTTAAGAAGGTGTCAGTTGATATGAGAGTTTTTGTCTGTTGTGGTATGTTCCTTGATTCTGGTTCCCTGAGAGTTTTTGTCTGTTGTGGTATGTTCCCTGAGAGTTTTTGTCTGTTGTGGTATGTTCCCTGATTGTCGTAACGTTGTGATTGGTTTATGTGCGACACGTATGTTGTATGGTCGTAAGATACGCAACTATCTCAAACGTGTTTTTGACAAAAACAACTATAACTCTCACTTTATCAAACGCAACACTTACAAATCTAACGAATCAAACGAAACGAACAACTCAGTGACAACATCAACGATACCTTACATCAAAGGTACGTCTAAGACTATCTTGCGTATCTTAAGACCATACAACATACGTGTGCACATAAACCAATCACAACGTCACGACAAGTACTAACGAACATAAAGGACAAAGAACAACCCAGTTTCAAAATAAACTGCTCCGACTGCCACGCCTCCTATATCGGGGAAACTGGCAGGAACTTAAACATCAGACTTACTGAACACAAACGAGCTACGAAGAAACAAGACAAAACTAATCACATTGCCGAACGTCACCGAATCACAAAGCACAACATTGACTGGGACTCGGCAAAATGCATTGCTTACAGTACTGACTATAGACAACGGCTTACATTAGAAAGTTGGTATACCAACATGGAACAAACCCCCCTGAACAGATCACAACAATTACCGGCACCTTACAAACGACTTATTCACAATACAAACAAAGATCAACTAAAAACATTACACTTTACACTAATTCACAATGACAATTCACAATTGACACCCACACATTACAACTAAAAACATCACACCAAAATCACACATCACAACTAAAAATAAAAATATATCACTTCACACTAAAGGCTCTTACAGACGAACAAATTTTCTATGACAAAACTCTATGTTACCATTTTTTTGTGGCAAATGTCCATGTGTACGTGCAGCAAATTTTCTATGGCAAGTTTTTCATGTGGCATATTTTCTTTGACCGTCTGTACCCATCAACAAATTTTGTGTGACAAATGTTGTGGCCCGCGATATAATAGCACAGCATATATCAAAGAGAATACGCGGGAAAATCAGCGATAGTCAAAGTAAACAATCGTCGGCTGTTCAACGATGCCAATAAGTTAGAATGCCGTAGTAACTGTTTTGAACTACACAACGAAGCACAGTCCAACAGACTCATGGTGACATCGCTGATACAATTACTGTGTAAACGTTAAGTGTACCCACCTTTGATGTAAGAAAGATCGATACCAGGGACTTCCTCTTTCATTATGTTCAGGATCTCTTGATAGTCTTTTTTCTTCTTATTTCTGTCTTTGTAGCATTCTGATTTTAAATTCCACAAACTCTCCCTTGTTCTAAGTAACTCAAGGAGGTGACTTGTGGCTGCATCAGTCCAACGCACGTTGTTGGCTGCCGCCATGTTGGCCGCTAAGACAGATCTTTGTGGCCACAACACTGAGTACGCTGAAAAATTCCGCTGACTAGGTTCATCACTGGCACGTCATTTGTTATATTTTCTTTGTTGGCCGTACAGACGAACAAAGTTCGTCATTTGGCCCATTTTTCTATGACAAATGCATTTGTCACAGAAAAATATGGCAAAGTGACGCGTACAGACGGGCGTATAAAACTTGTAACATAGAGTTTTGTCATAGAAAATTTGCTCGTCTGTAAGAGCCTTAATTCACAATGACAATACACATTTCCTGTACACACAATACAATGACGTAAGAACCAGATAACAAATACGGTTAACCTGACGTTTACTACTCATTTGACTCTGAAGATGACTACCGCTAAGTTTGTCGAAACGTCAGTCAACAACAACAAAAACAGTACTTCTCAGGACTATACCAACCTAGTGTTAGTGTTGTGCAACCGAGTCCCAGTCAATGTTGTGCTTTGTGATTCGGTGATGTTTCTGTTGTAGTTGCTGAAATTGTAATGCAATCTATAGAGGAACGGGCACTCATGACTTACAAACATGCACTACCTTTTTGGTTTCGCTACGTAGATGACATAATCACAGCACTACATGCAGACGAGATTGATGACTTCCATACTCACATCAACAAACAGAACAGCCACATACAATTTACCAAAGATGTCGAAGAAAACGGAACTCTTCCTTTCCTCGACTGTTTGGTAAAACATGACAATCAAAAACTAGGAACAACAGTTTATCGCAAGCCAACACATACTGACCGACTACTAGACCAATCATCTTACAACCCTACATCACACAAAGCCACCACAATCAGAACATTAACAAGACGTGCACAAATCATATGTGATTCACCGGACGCTCTACAAAACGAAAACAACTATCTCAAACGTGTTTTGACAAAACAACTATAACTCTGACTTTATCAAACGCAACACTTACAAACCCAACGAACCCAACGAAACGAACAACTCAGTGACAACAGCAACGATACCTTACATCAAAGGTACGTCTGAGACTATCTCGCGTATCTTACGACCATACAACATACGTGTCTCACATAAACCAATCACAACATTATGACAAGTACTAACGAACATAAAGGACAAAGAACAACCCAACGAACGACAAGGTGCAGTTTACAAAATAAACTGCTCCGACTGCCACGCCTCCTATATCGGGGAAACTGGCAGGAACTTAAACATAAGACTTACTGGGCACAAACGAGCTACTAAGAAACAAGACAAAACTAATCACATTGCCGAACATCACCGAATCACAAAGCACAACATTGACTGGGACTCGGCAAAATGCATCACTTACAGTACTGACTATAGACAACGGCTTACATTAGAAAGTTGGTATACCAACATGGAACAAACCCCCCTGAACTGATCACAGCAATTACCGGCACCTTACAAACGACTTATTCACAATACAAACAAACGATCAACTAAAAACATTACACTTCAAACTAATTCACAATGACAATACACAATTGACACCACACATTACAACTAAAAACGTCACACCTAAATCACACATCACAACTAAAAATAAAATATTTCACTTCACACTAATCCACAATGACAATACACATTTCCTGCAAATTTCCTGTACACACAATACAATGACGTAAGAACCAGACAATAAATACGGCTAACCTGACGTTTACTCCTCATTTGACTCTGAAGATGACTACCGCTAAGTTTGTCGAAACGTCAGTCAACAACAACAAAACAGTACTTCTCAGGACTATACCAACCTAGTGTTACATGATAGCAACTACTATCATGTAATATCATATTATATCATATTCTAATTTCATATATTACTAATTAGGACATAATGTAGAAGCTTGCTTGCATGCGCTAGAAGTTTGCTTACATGCGTAAACATACTTTAGAACCGCCACCGCATTTGTTGTTATTCTGGTTAGCTACATCTTACTGTAACATACTGTATTGCGTATGGGATGTAGGTCACAAAACCACAATACTTCCCATTAGATATTATATATATATGAGTAGTTTAGACCACTGAGTACAACCTTCGAGGACAATTTACGAGGACAACCTACGAGCACAAGCTACGAGGAGACAAACTTAGGAGGCATAGCCTACCGAAGTAGGTTGAAAAGCTACAATCTACCAGACAACTATCTTGGCTTCTGTGCCATAACTATCTTTTGGCTTCTGTGCCTTCAATCTATTTGGAAAACTATTGTGAGTCATTGTTGGACTCACGAACGCTCAAGAATAAAGACTCGCGGTTGTACTCAGACAGAGGAGATAAGTTTTACTCATACTTATTGATATTATTATTAAGACACTTATCTACAAAACATGTACAGAAGATTTATCTGTTGATGAGTATTTAATCATTTCGATTTGCCAAAGTCATTTAAAGCTTTGTTCAATCTCGGCTACCGGATCATGCATTCACACCCTAAAAGACGAATGTAAAAAACATGCTCTCAAAATTTTAACTTAATATGTTCGAATAATATAAGGTTATTCTTCGACAAAATCACCAAAATATTTGCAAAAAAATTTTGTAATTAATTTTTGGTATAAGCTAACCTTAATGTCACCAGATTTGATTGCACAATTAAGAAATTCATGATATGTCTATTATAAATAGTTATTGATAAAGATTTTAAAAATATGCGGTATTAATATGCCTTTCTCTTACCCATGCATAAATTTCATTCTTTTATCAAATTTTTTTAGAATCAAAGTTACAAGAGTGGAAATACAATGATAAATCGAAGAAGCATAAAGAAATGTTTTCAAATCTGATTAAACGTTCACGCGATGACAGTGTCGAGGTTAAACAAGTGAGCGATGTACGTGTGATTTTTTCGGACGATTTTTGCATCGGAAAAGGAAGTAACGAGACCCGTGTTTTTCTTGGACTGAGGAAAGATGGTTACGGCAAAGCAGTGAAACGAATACTTCGAGACAACTGCATGAAGCTTGCACAGAAAGAAAAAGAAATTTTAAATCAATTCAACGCAAAGAGATCAAAATATGTTGTGAATTATTCCTTCTTAGAAGAAGATACTGGAACGGATTATGTCTATTTAATATTAGACTTATGTGAAGAATCGTTGGAGAGTTATGTGAAATCTTCTACTTTGGAAGATCTTCAAAACGCTCTTCCCGACATTCTCAGACAAATTTTGCAAGGATTAGCTGATCTTCATAGTGGCGAAAATCCCATTATTCATCGGGACTTAAAGCCTACCAATGTTCTCCGAGACTCACAAGACAACTTTCTGATAGCTGACTTTGGCATTAGTCAAATATTGAATAATGATTCTACGACATATGAAAGCAGTCCTAACACAGGAACGGAGTATTGGATAGCTCCAGAATCATATTGTGAAAAGGAAGATTCTGTTGATAAAGGACGGTACAAGAAAGAGTCTGATGTATATGTAAGTGTATGTTGCAATACGGTTCTTGATTTGTGAACTATTTAATAGTGGTCCGTTTAACACTTAAAATATAATAAGTACACGTGATTTTCTTTTGAGCCCGCTCTCTGCGGTGTTCTAGAAACCTAAGGTCCCTGAGGGGGAGAGGGTTTTACAATCTACTACATTATTATAAACAGTATAAGATTATAACCATTTTAACTTCATGCATATATGCATTCAAGTTGTGACATTACATTGTTAATCTTTTTAGAATGCAGGAATGGTAACTTATTATATTGCAACAAAGGGAAAACATCCGTTTGGAACTAAACCGTATAGACTGATGAACATGTTGAATGGAAAGCCTGTTGGTTTGGATCAAATCGAGGATGCAACACTAAAGGACCTTCTGTCGTGGATGTTAAATCTAAAACCTGAAGACAGACCATCGGCTACCGTGGCGTTAAAACACCCATTTCTTATGTCGGATGACGAGAAATTTGACTTATTATGTAAAGTTGGAAATATTCAGCAGATTAAGACAAATGATCCCCTGTGTAGTGTCGTTCAACAATTGAATAGTGAATCCTCAGATTGGAAAAGTAAAATAGACAGTGATGTTTATGATTATTTTAGGACGGATGTGGTGACTGGAAAGATTTTTACATATGACTCTTCATGGACAGAATGTTTAAGACTTATTCGAAATATAAACCAACATTGGAACGATCGACCACGGCCAAGACCACAACTAGAACCATTTTATAAGATTGGCGATCACAAGGCGTATATTCTCAAAAAATTCCCCAATCTCCCTGTTCGAGTGCATGCTACTGTGAGGTCCGATGAAGAATTGAAAAACAGTCCAGATCTCAAGAACTTATTCAATTTCGGTGAAAAGAAATCACATCAAAAATAAACAGTTTTTAAACAGTAAAAACAGTTTGTGAAAAGGCAAGTGAACAGGAAAGATACCGTGTAAAATAGAATTTACTCAGATTGGAAAAGACAAATAAATTTTTTACGCATATCATTATTTTGATTGTTGGCTTTTATTGACAGATTGATTGATTGCGATCAGCACTAAAACCATCCATTTTATAAAGTCGATGATCCTAAGGAGTTCATTTAAAAATCCAGTTCGGGTACGTGCGGCTGTCTGGTGTAATGACGAATTGAAAAACAACCCAGAACTTAAGAACTTTTTCAGTTTTTAATGAAAGCGAACCACAATGAAAAGTTTACTGATAGGAAAACAAGTAAGAAATCAACGATACGGTAGTTAAAGGTTTTATTTTATAGATGTAAAGTAGCAAAACACTTTTCACGAAGTATTTGGATGATGCATAATCACATTTCTGCATCTAGCTTACATTATTGAATGATACAAAACCTGGTTATTTAAATTTTATTCTCAATTGCTTTTGTCGAAGACATATGACATTTAAAGTCAACTTTATAAAATACACATCAAAACTCTTATACGATACTAAATGGTATTTCTGGAGTTACAATATTTCCAAGGTCCCGTTTATTAAAGTATTAAAACGAAGTGATAATGGTTAATGCCAGAATTACAATTAAATGGACTTAAGCTCTGAATTTAATAAACATTAATTATCTGAAGACACTGAATAAAGGCAATTAAAAGCAAATGAAGCCTTTACAGCAAATGAAGAGTGAATCCGGTATAGCACGCAGCTTGAAAGTCTGGTCTTGAATGTCATGGGCTCTTGGGAGTTGCTCATGCTGTAAACCTAACCATCGTTTGTTGAGCAACTCCACAGGTAGAATTTAGGAGTGCTTTTTTGTTTTACTATCTCTATCAATTACGTAGCTAATCAATATAAAACATTTGAATTAAATAACATTTTTCATGCAATCAGCAGCATTTCTTCTAATGGATTCTTTAATATTTTAATTAGTTTTATAGAAAATATTCATAGTTCTCATTATTTTCTATGATATTTTCTTTATTTCATATTCTGTAATCCTAACAATTATTTCGTATCTGCATCCATGCAACTAACATGCAAATACTTTATATTTAAGATTTATTAAATGAATATTGAGTATACAGGTAAGATTAACTACCGCTCTTTGTATCACCTGTATTCTAAAAACTTTCTCACACCCACATTCATTGAATAAAGTTTCAAAATAATCTTATAACTGCTGGAAGACCTTGTATTCACTCCACTGATTGATTGATTTGAAATATTTCACCAAAAATTTTATACCACTGATTGATGATGAAATGAGTTTGCATTGACTAGTAAGATCAAGACTTTTGTGTTGCACACATTGAGGGTTAGAGTTTTTGTGAGTTTCTAGAATACTGACGTATAACTTTTTCGACAACTTCAAGAACATATAGTGGATGGTAAATTGAAAGAATAACTTTATGCCTAAGGTTTAAGGGAGGCCACGGCGTTTCAGCACTTATTTGACATCTGTTTCAACTTTGTCTATTCCTGAGGCAAAATATATCCCGTAAGCTATTGTAAATTTCGGGCTTAAAACATTTTCATTCGTAAAATTTCATAAATACAAAAACTCCCACGTATTAGAATCAGGCCATCTATTAAAATAATATTGGGCCATCCAAACACGGAAGTCATTAAAGTTTATATGACCAATTACCATATTCTCACCAAAGATAGGGCGTGAAAAAAAAACAATTCAAACGATGTAGTATCAATGGAAAATTTTTTGAAATTAAAGAAACATTTGGGTCCAAACATGCAAAAAATTAAGAATTTTTGAAATCATCAGTTTTTACGGCAGCAATTCCAACATCACTATGTGGCTCAAAAAAGATGGGCGACATTTTGGGTAAATTATAGCAGCTTAGAATAAATTAAACAGATCATAGATTTATTAAATAATTCAGAAATTTTATCTTCCAAATATTGTCAGACGGTTAAAAATGGTTCATGTTGATGTCAACTTTATCGGGAGCACGTTCTCTAAAAACGTCTTTTACAAAATGAATTCTGTCTTTAGTTTTGATGATTGTATATAACATGAAGTACCCCTATAGTCCCTTACCAAAGTCACTGTTTTTTTAGACTTTACCGAAGTAAAAAATCCCTAATGGAAAAACCTGAACGGTATAAACCAAGACTGAACACAAAGTCACAATATCTTGGAGAATACTGAACAGGAAAAAGCCACTAGGGATTTTAGCCGAAATTCCGCGCCCCGGGGGAACCCTTACAAACAATAAACTTTACATACCTTTGAAGTGATTCAAAGAGCCAAAAAAGTAAAAGAGAAACATTAAAATGCACTTTTAATGATGAAAATATGGTCTTGAAGGTATATAGTCATTTTTCTAAAATTCTCCATTTTTAATGAACACGGAATTCGCCACAGTTTACCGACACACAAATCTATCATTGATCTAGACAATTTTCTACTTTGACCGAGAAAATTGTTTTTGATAGGAATTTCGTAAAACGTGTGCTTTTTAACATCTAATCCATATCCATATGTTTGCTTTTAGGTTCTTTATGAAGGCATTTCGCATACCATTACCTGGTGTAATAATCATTTACTTTTTGCTCGTTTGCGCTGTGGCAAAAAGTATTGAAATTCCCAGGAAAGAAGTCCTCTTTAAAAGAAGACAACATACCACTTTTTACATTTACAATAATTACTGCCACGCCGCTCCTAAACTGCAAATGACTTAAAAAAACAGAACACTTTTTAAGTTTCAATTTGTCGTATGAAAATGACCGACAGAAGAATTGGAAGTTTCTTCCAAACATTTTTATTTAGTAATTTCTCTCTAAACTGGTGTTTGTCCTTTAAATTAATAAAGGTACTAACTACACTTTGGTTATCTGAGCATAGCAACTACTCGCGGCAACTACAGCGCATGCCTGAGCTATCCAAACTTTCTACGTGCGCATGACACCGAAATTCCGCCCTGAAAAGAAGTGCCTCTTGAAGGAGGTAACCCATCATGCCCTTAACGTAACTTAACCTAGTGCATGTAGCACCTACGGGTGACCTCCAACCGGGGTGGGTTGAACTACTCATGCATTATAGGGGATCCAAGAGTGCCTTAATAGTCCCTGTAGAAAGCAGTTCATGAAATTGGCTAACTACCAGGACTGCATGCTTTTACCGTACTAGGGGAAAGATATATTTTTCTTTACACCAGAACAACCATCTTTTCTTTGTCTTCAATAGGTCTTGCTCGCTAGATCCGGTCTTCTAGGGTCTTCTTACAGATGCTATTTGCATCCTCTACGCTAAGGTACCATTTGAACCCACTAATCCCAAGTAGAAGTTGCCATTCTTTGGCCAAACGTCACTTGCATTTCCGATCTAAGCTACATGATCCTATCTATCCTTCTGCAAGGCAACGTCCGCGGCAAGCATACGTAGCTACTTAAAGCAGTATATTCACAAAGAGGTTTCCGAAGATAAATCGAGTAAAACCGACACAAATGCATGTCAATAACAGGCTAATAACCGCTGATACAACTTCACGTTTTCTAATTCATACACAAATTTTAATAATGAGCTCCAGAACACAAATCCTTTTTTAGTTAAAATGAAAAAAACTTTTAAAACCTCTTAGTGAAACTATTTTTGAAATGAAGGGAGAAAACTGCTATGAAAATGTTTATTTAATTTTTTATGCATCACTTTCTTTACAGTCATGCAAGTCCATCATCGTGGTGAATATAAACCACAAACATCGATGTTTTTCAACCTTACTTGATGACGATTTTGTCTTTAACAGAGAAATATTCATGTCTAAAATCGAGAATGGAACGAAAATTAGTTTCTAAATCTAAGGTCTCATACTTTACATGAATAAAGATCACAGTGTCGTTTTCATTTACCACTTCAATAGAAGAAAGATACTCTGTTAAAACCAACATTTATCACACACATTTACCTCAATGAAAATGGTTTCAATAAACTCAAGGTGTATTTCACAGACAAAAGGTTTTGATTTCTTTTATCCTTTCTTTCTGTACGTACTGTTGTACAGAGTCGTATGGCACGTTCTCAGGTTGAGTTAGTTTTAAAATATGTCACAAGTTGCTTAAACTAATATCTTCTGATTGGTCAGTTCCTAGGTATGTTGTCTTCTGATTGGCCAGTTCCTAGGTATGTTGTCTTCTGATTGGGTAGTTTCTAGGTGTGTTGTTAATTGCATTTCGCAATTCTTATTGCACTTCTAGCAACGGTATACCGGGCTTATCAAAAAAGGGAACACCTTCATGACCACGATTCTAATCCTGCTGGTGCCTAAATTCTTTTCCTGGTCAAGAAGTTACATTCCATTTCAAGGACAGAAAAGCTTTCATGTTAATACCTGAGTTATGCAATATATGAACGTATAGCTTGCAATTTTTATGAACCCATTGGTTTTGAAATAATCACAATAGGTCAATTTATGAAGGTCTTATTTTTTCTACGTCCTGTAAAATTAGCTTTATAATTAGCATTCATTGTGTAACGTGTATTTGGTGCTACTTCTTATTCTCGTATATTTCATATAGGAGGAAAACTCATAGAGTTAGTATAATTTAAACAATTGCTGGCAAGACTACAGTTTAACGGACACCCGAAGCGCTTGTATGGGGAGCGTGGGCTTGTTTTTGCTTAGGATTATAAGGGTAGGGTTTGGGTCAGCGTTCAAGGTGTCCGCTAAACTGCAGTAGCCCCATTGTTAAATAATTGTTAAATACGTTATCTACAGGCTGTATCACAAAACTGCAATGTTATAATTTGTATAAAGGAAATTAAAACATTAAAATTTCAATGGCTATGCAACTCATTACGCTTCGGGAGTTGAAAAATGCCTTTAAGCCATACGCTAAGCGATTTGTAATTGAACAAACTATAATTCACTTTGTAAAGGTTAGAGAAGGATCACGTGTGTTCTGTGGAATTAAGAGTCTTGAGCATTAGATAGAAATTCCCGAAAATTATATGGGAATTTTTATTTAATGTGAGGGTATCATAATCCCATAGGACACAGCTGATTATGCACTAAGCGTC